ACTTTCAAAGTAAAATATAGATAGAAAATTTTAAAGTTTAGTTATATGGGTATTTGAATACAGATCATGCGAAATATAATGATACTAATGTCACATCCTTTTACTTTTTTTATGTAATATATGTATTTTTGACTGCTCTGCAAGTTTACTTAAGGCATCAACAGGGGTTTTGAATGCCGTTTTTAACTTATATATGAAAAACTTCTTTGCCGGTTATTTCCTAAATTTTTTTAAGAGTGATCAGCAAAATCAATTATTCATAGATAAAGTCAAAACTGTCATTCAAAAGCACCTTTGATGCCTTAGATAAACTTGTAAAGCAGGCAAAAATCCATTTATCTACTAATTTTGAAGTTTATACTATTAGTCAAAATGGCAATAATTACATGACCCAGGTTTAAATATCCTGTATAGCAGACTACATGATACTGATTCTCTAGGGAATCTGTTTCTATGCTAATGTATAAGAAAGATTATTCTTTAATATATTTTTTTGTTCTAGTTCTCTTCACTCTTTGATAAAGTTTTATATCATTATCTAAAATATCTTTGATATATAAGAATGATATTAGTCAGAGTTTGAGTAATAGATTCTTTTCAATGTATATAAAGTACCAATCTGAGGTTAGAAAAAAAAGCATAAGTTAATATACAAACAAAAAATCAGTGCACGTGAACAGTTGTTCATGTTAATTATTTTTGCCATGAAAAAATCTTACCTGTAGTAATGATCCCATAGAGATAATCTCAAATCATTATTAAATACCACAGCAGATACCTTTCTTTTTCTTATAGTCATATGGTAAGAGCTTTCGAATTGCATTATGTTCTGTATAAAGTCTGCCATTAAATTATCTTCATCAATAACAATTAGCCATAACTAATAATATCTATGGATTGATTATGTAATCAACTTGATCTGATGTTTCATCATCACTTACAACTTCAAATTGCAGGTCAAAAGTAATTCTTAGTTATTCCCTGGCGATGAAAATAGGTATGTATAATATTTAGGAAATATATTTGCAACATATAACTTCTGTTACTGAACTTATAATTGGACAAATAAACTATTGTCATTTATTTAACTCATTTTCGTTATAATCTTTACAGGGTCTGGTATAAATAGTAAGATTTTTTTATATCATTGCTACTGATTCTATATTTGCCCAATATCTTTATGCCTTAATCTTATATGAGAAGAACTTTAAGTTTTTGTCCTTACACTCTTTGGAAAAGTTTGCAAAATCTGACATAAGCTCACTTTTATACCTAACATACTATAATTGCAAAGCATTTATTTGATTGTCTTGAGAAAAATACGGTTACTAATCTCTTTTTGAGAGTTGTCTTGCTGAACTCTAAGTTCTGTTTCCATAAAATAAGATATATTTAACTTTATCTGCTAATGTAAATGATTCATTTCCAGTTACAGTAGATGAGAGTGGAATAGGATATAAGATTAGATAGAAAAATAGTTTGTTCCAGAATGAGATAAAACTTTATTTCATGAAATACTAAGTATTAATATATATTTTATGTTATATAGATATCGTATTATTATACGTGATCCGCTTTCTAAATAAACAGGAAAATAAACAAAATCATATTCTTTGACTACATATGTCTTCTTTTTGTACTGATAAACTTGGTGAAGATGGAAGTTATTAGGAAAGCAGTAAACATTTTGATTTTTACTTTATTTTGCTGAATTATGATCCATTATGAAATTAATCTTATAAAGGTTAATGCTTTTTTCTTAGCAAAATTTTGCTTCAAAATAGGGTATTCTATTTCCTGAAAAAGCATAGCTTTTAAGGAGGAAAAGTTGGCTAAACTTTCACAAATTTCTACATGCCTTATTATATCTTGATAGGAAAAAGATAAGAAGAGTAGTTAATATTATCTTATGATGCCAAGAGTTTTATAAAGCATATTAATATAGATTTTTTTTACCTTTTCACATAAAGATTAGTTAACACTGGAGATTTCAAAATTGCAAAGCTCTCATATCTTCATATCATATATTTTTATTGGTATTATTTACATAATAGGCGAGTTCAGTCAAATTTTTGATTGCAAAATCTGTTAACTAACTATAAGTTCAAAACTTCTTAATCTCAGAGATTTCAAGAAATAATATTTTGTATATTTGGAAGAGATATAGATAGACAAAAATACTGTAAATATTGGTGGAATAATTTATTTCAGAAATTTATTATAGTAAAAAGCTGTGGGAATGAGAATCACATAATTAGCAATAAAAGTATAAACAAATTAGTTATAGATACTTTTTATAAATGTAAGAGAGCAAAGAAATAGGACTCACATACATCCTTTCTTTTTGATAGCATCATATTTTTCATAGCATTTCTCTTTAAAAAAAATTTTGTACAGTGAATCTGATATATAATAAATACTTAAAATGACTCAAATTTTATAATTATTTCATATCAATCAGTATACTTAATTAATACTTTAGACTTATAAAACATGTTCTCATAATAGTTTAATCAGATTTAAGACGTATTCATATAGCTTAATTTTAAACCATATATAAATTTTATAAATCTTTAGAAAATCATTTTTTTCTTTTAAAAGACTCATCGTTTCCTTTTTAACATTTATTTCAAATAATAAAATAAAAAAAATGTATAAAGCAAGTCCTATTTTTATGAATATTAATAAATTTTCTTTCAATAATGAAGAAAAAAGAACTAAGCTACACATTTTTTTACTTACAATGACACAACTAAAGTAGAAGTAATTCTTTCGATAATTACAGGAGATGAAGCAAAAGTTAAATTCTTGAGGAGATATGTTGACAAGTCAAGAGATAAGCCCTTGCACCATAATTGGTAACTTAAAATCACGATGTCTTGTTTAGTAACTGACTTTGCCTTTTCTGGTTTCCTAATCCAATTTAGATGAACATTTAGGTAAGCCTTTGTGTCATAATGATTAGTTTGCTTAACCTTTCTTGTTTCACATCTATTCATTTTATATTTTCTTTTAACTTAGTACAAATAAAATTAAAAATTGATGATGTATTCTCTAACGGTATGTAGCAATAAAACTCAAATTTTTTTTTACATTATAACTGAGTACCCTTCTGTTACTTTAATAGGTTTACTATATGAAAACCCAAATTCATTGCTTTATAGTTCTGGTATAGAATGGGACTACCAATAAGGAAAAATGTTATACTAAAAGTTACAAGATGCACTCATGCTATACTACAAAAACTTCAAAAATAAAAAAATGGATAAATGTAATATTCTGTTTTATTTTTTCATTTCTGGACCAAATGCTAGAAAATTAAGAAATTCTACAGAACTACATTGGATGGCAGTGGAATGTATAAAAGACCTTTTAGAATTAAGAGAATTAAAAAATTGGCTTAATAATTCATAGTCATTTAATACTTCCTTTGAAAATAGTTTCAATTTAAGGTCTAGTGAAACTGATCCATTTCTTGCTGTTAATTTACGAATGCTTTGTCAACTTTTTAACAAAAAGTTGAACAGTATAATTGAAAAATATGATCTACCACATTTACTAAAAGTCTTAGAATTGGTTTTTAAATTTGAGAATAGGAAATTAAATGATATTGCTGTTGGTAAAAAAATCAATATATCAATTAATTAACATTTTTAATTTATAAATTTTTATTTGTTTTAGACTATTAATTATCTGACTTTTTCAAATTCAAGATTTTCTTTTTCAGTAACACAAGCATCCTTAACCTTGTAGACTTTTAACCAAACTGAGATGTATAATATAAAGATTTGGTTAAGAGAAATAGAAATTTGGCTAGTATTATCTAAAAAAAAAAATTTATATAATTATTATTAACTAACAAATAGAAAGTGCACTTAGAGAAAGTTAACTGCATTTGTAATAATTTATATGTAATAAAGCAAGTAATTGTTATTTAAATAATAATTGATAATAAAGTTATTAGATATGTATGATATAAGTAACTAAAACCTTTTTTGTGTATCTTATTTATTATTATCTGGAGCGTAACGAAGGACTATATAATTTTACGAAGGTTAATAACAATTAGTGTCACATAGTGATTTCCGGTTGTCTGCACACGTCATTTCTGATTGGTCCGCACAGAATGTGTATTGAAATTTCATGCTACATCAAAAATAAACAAGTAAAAAAGTTTATGATTACCTTTTTTTAGATTTCGGCTAGTAAGTATATTTTTCTTTTAAACGACTTTCTTATTTTTTTCCTAAGGTTTCTGGATTTCTTGTACATACCGGACTGGTGAGTTGTTTTTTATTTGTTTTGCTTTAAAGAAATGTTTTTAGCGTTTCATTTTTATTTTCTTTTATCTAGGAATACAGGTTTTTTGTACATGCCGGACTTTTAAAGGTAAATTGTGAGGGCTTTTCTTACTTGTTTAACCTTAAAGAAACGTTTCTAATGTTTCATTTTTTATTTTTATTTTTTTAGGGATGCCAGATTTTTTGTACAAATTGAATTTTTAAAGATATTTGGATTTTTGTACAAATCTTTCGCTCTGGACTTACAACGGTTTCTGTTTCCTAGTTTTATAATAAAGTGATCAAAATTTTGTATATCACTAATTATAAAGTGACTAAAATTTGTGTATCACTATTATAAAATGATCAATAATATACATGAAAAATGTCCAGTGCTTACATAGAACATATACAATAATATTTATGGATTTGAAATACAAATATAAAAATTAAAAATTAAATTAATATAATAATTGAAAAGGAGACAGTAAAACTAATTATTTGAGTAAGGAAAAATATAATGAAAGATTGAAAATTAAGAAGGAAATTAATTTGTTTAAAGAAAAAAAAATAATGAACATATATAGAAAGGGAAAATTTCCAAGTCTCTTGGATGGGGTGACATGGATGTTATTTGATCATGTGATAGTGAAATAAACACTGCTTATAGAAAAAATTTCAATTTTTTGATTTAATATAAATTCTCAGAATTAATGTAAACTAAAATTCTGAAAAAAATTTGTTACTGATAATTTTCGGAATATATAAATCAATGACACTTTTCCATGCAGAAATTTCTTTTATCCGATGTATGACGATCAAGTTTGGTGATGCCCATGGTCTCCTACTAAACCGATTTTTAGTTCTTGGATCATTAAAAATTAAACAATTTTCTGATATTCGAATTAGAGTTGAATTCACATGATTAAGCAACCAGGATCCCAACATCCGATCTTCATGTCCATACCATTCGGTTTGATTGAATGAAGAGGTGGCGATCATGTAGACCTGATCTACTGAAAGAGTCTCAAGTTCTCCATACATAAAGATATCACGATTTTCTAATCCATAATACAAATTTTTTCTTGGCAATGGACGAAGGTTAAGAGCCAGATTTTGAAAATGTACAAATGCATCATCATCAGTTTTTATAACATAATCGTATTGCATGTCAGAATACTCTGCAACCCACTTCCAATAATAATATGACTTGCCATGGTTCATATTCTCTATATTATTCAGCATTATAAGGTCACCATAGGTATTATTTTCTATGGATAATTGAGATTCTAATTCAGGAGTAAATTCAGGTGGTATACCAAGAATAAACTTGAAATCCACTTTATCACCAACCAAATTCATTTTCTGTATTATATTTAATGTTCGTATAAGATTTCGAATTTCAAACTTATCAGCTACTGTCCATATACCAATAAAGATTTGAACTGGTGGCCAATTCCATAATTTTTTGAAAGGAATTCCTTTCTTTTCATGATAACTTTTACATTCCATTTTCCCTCAGAATGGGATTGGTCTATACTTAATATTATTTTCTTTGGGAATGGGATTTTTTGATTTGAATTTTGAACTTGGTTTTGAACTTTGTGTCGGATTTGGTGTTTGTATTGGAATTTTTTTCAAAGTTGTCGAATATGTTAATATAGTATTATTTTCATTTGAGGAGGAGGAGGATGTGAATACTGTTTGTGCTGTTGAAGTAATATTATCAAATTCTAGATAAAATAACGTAACAGTAAGAAGACATATTAAAATTATTAATATAGATGGATAGTAAGAGACCATATTGGGTAAAGGTTAAGATTCGATTGCTAAACGGTAATTATGTAGCTTTAGTTTGTGTTGTACCAATTTTTTATTTTTGTGGAACAAATATGCTTATCAAATATAGTATGCGTACCAATATTCTCTTTCTAATAATACACATGTGTTAATTATTTAAAACAAAGTACATAAATAAATTCTCCACATGGTAATAAAAACAATTTAAAGAAAAGAGAGGAAAGAGAGAGAATTTGTTTGGTGGTGTATGAGGAAGATTGAAGAAACGAAAACAAATTATCAATTAAAGATAGCGTCAGTGATTAGCAAAGTTATCTAGTTTTTTTTAGTGTATTTAGACTTTGATTAGTTAACATAAAAATGGTTAACCCATTTATTTTTACAAGTACAATGTATAAGATTATTGAGTATGACTGTAGCATCGTTCAGACCGAAAAAAAAATAATAAATATGATTCTGAGGTGAACACCAAAATTGATCCAGTTTAGAAAAACCCTAAAAGGAATGGTTTATATCAACTAAATTATCAATCACGTGTAATGATTTTGGTTGCATTTTAAAAAAATGAAATATATACATACTGTACATACACAAGGAAGGATACAACTAGTTCGGAAGTGGTTTATTGAAATTGCTCGAGTATCATTTTCATTTATAAATTATAATAATCTTTTAACCAAGTTTAATTAATGAAGCAATTCAACTTGTCTATAATGAGAAATCTGAAGCAATTGTTCATTTGGAGATTATTGACAATTAAATTTATTGGCTTCAATTTTTCAACAACAATTCCGTTCGTTCCTTACAATAAAATTTTTAAATATTTGGGTATGTAATAAAAACCCCAGTTTTATACCTTTGTTGAAATCACAACGGAAGAAAAATGTATAGTTACTATAAGGAAAGTTGTTCTTTAACTTAACTTATTCTAAAATAATAAAATGGGCATTTTAAGACGTGTGTTATATATTTGTTTAAAAAATTATATTTCAGAAGTAATGATGGTGCTGCAATACCACCAAAAGCGGTTTTATTGGATAATCAGTTAAATTACTTTCCTATTTAAGTTGGTGTTTTTTTCCATTTTTTTTATTATAATTATAAAAAGAAGGATTGGTTGGTTAATTTGACAGTTATTAGACAATCCGTTAAATGGTCAAAATTTTTACTAAAAAGAAACGTGTTTTTTTACTGTATTATAAAAAATGTGTTTCTGCATTTTTCAGCAAACAAAATCATCATTTTTTGATGTGAATTTCAATATAACTAATATAATTATCAAACTTTTACTGATTGTAATTTATTTTTAGGCCAAATTCATTTATATTAAAATTTTTTCTTAGTCTTTTAGAAAATCATAATATCTTGTATATCTTGTATTTCTTATTTTACTTAATGCTTTTAAATACAGATATGCACAATACTTATTGGAAAGTTACTAGAAAACAAACTGTATAAAACTTGTAGGATTGGACCATTGATTCAAATGCATTTTTTTTTACTTTTTAACATTATTTATAGAATAAATGAATTATTAATAAAAAAACTTTATATATTGTACAAAGCTTTATCAAAAAAGACTCTTATTTTTAAGTTTTTAAAAGTAATTTCAAAAGTTCACCAATTGCCTTAAAATTTTGAATTAAGTCTTACAAAAAAATGTTAAGAAAGGTATTTTTTAATGTTTTTATTAAATTTTATAAGAAGTATTTGAAGGTAAACATATAAACTTACCAAGATTTCAAAATTCAAGTTGAAGCTAAAAATTTAAAAATTATAAATTAATAAATACAAATTTCTAATTACTTAAAATTAAATTTATTTTATAAAAATACTGGTATTTAAATTAGAGGTTTATTCTAAAAAAAAATAAAAAAAAAGTTAATAAGATTGTTACTTTTGTTTATCTTAAAATTTTAGTTAAAAAAAACATATTAGTAAAATATTTCTTTAAAAAAAAAATAAATTTTAAATATATATTTTAAATGGTAATTAATTAAAAATATAAAACTTACCAAATTAAAAATTTTTTAATAAATAAACTAAAAAATAAGTAAAATAAAATTTGAGAATATCAAATTATCACCAGTAGTAATTGTCACCACTAGTGATTTTTACTAGTCTGATTTTTTGAATTTTATAAGATTACAGTTTCTAGCAAAAATAATGGCAGTGAGAATATTGCTTCTTAATTTAATAACTATTCCAATTAAAGTATTACTTTTTATACTAAATTAAATAGTAAAAGACTTATTTAAAAAGCAATGAAAAAAAAGTAATTTCAAATATTAACATTATTTTTATTTTATTATCTAAAATAACTCCTATTACAATTAAATTTATTTATAAAAGTGTTAACTTTTTCTTGAAATAAATTTTTAGGAATTTTCTAATTGAATTAGAATTTTTTTTTGCATTTTTATAAGCAATATATACTTTTCTTATTATATTTTAAAAAATACTTCCAAAATCAAAATAATAGTTATTTTTATATTATTTTAATTCTTAATAAGAAAACTTTAAAATATGTGTATTTTTGATTTACCAAATAATTTTTTAGATTATTGATGAGCTTATTATTATAATAGAGATGTAAAATAACAACTTTCATAATATCTAAAGTAGTATAAAAATTTGTCTTTCAATAATAAGTTTTTTGTGTTCATTTTAAAACCTAAATCTTAAATTATAATGAGAATTTTTGAAGTAGTAAATTAAGAAGATGGTAATATAAAAAAAAAGAAAAAAATTTATATTTTTCAATTTATTTAAAAAGAAGTAAAATAATTTTGAAAATAGTATAGCTATTAGGTATTATAAAAAGGTGTAAAATAGTGCCCCTATAGTGAATAAAGTATAATGAAAATGTAATATTATACTTAAGTGATAAATAAACATTTTGGCCTAAGTTCAGCCTAGCGGTTTGACTAGATATCTATTCATCACTTGTGTATATTTCATATTCTTTATGTTATATATTGCCAAATATCACTATATTTTATTCATCACAGAGCACTATTTTATATCTTTTTATCTTATAATATGATAAAGTACTATGTAAAATCAAATTAAAATATATGTTAGTGCAAATAAAGTCAAACTAAATACTATTTGTTAAATAATAAAATATATGTATTTTATTTTGATTTTTTTTCTTAAAAATAAAAAAAAATTTATAGCTTTATTATAAAATTTATAAGCTATATTAAAAAACTAACTGCTATTACTTTTACCAAAGTTTGTAATATTAAATTAAACAATTAACTATATATTAAACAGTTATTTTATATGTAAATTTACAAGAAAAAAAAATTAATCTAAAATCAAAAAAGCTATTTTCAAATAATTTTTTTCATTTTTATTAAAAGTTTTTTTGATAAAATTTTCAAAATTTTATTATAATTAATATTAAATTAAATATATTTATTTATTAAAGTTAAAATTTTATAATTAGTATTTTTAACTTTAATCAAAATTATATATTAGCATTTTATAACCTTAGTTAAATTGTAATTTTAGCTAGAATTAAATGATGATAATCATAGAAATTTAGTAATACTTTAATTTTTTATTAAAAAAATTTATTATTATAACAAATATTATATAATTAATTAATACTATAAATTTTAGTTTAATTTTAATAGTAATATATATTTAATGTATAGTAAATAAAACTTTATAATATATTTAAAATAATCAAATTTCTGGAATAAATAGAAAAAAAATAAAAATATTAACTTTAATTTAAATTGGTAAAGTTACTGTAATTTAATTAAAATAAAAAAAAAATTAAATTTTATTTAATAATATATATTTGTAATTTAAAAATTATTAAAAATTTGTATTTATTAAAAATTATATTAATTTATTAAATTTACTAAAATTACAAATTATTATTAATTTTAAATATAAATTTAATATTAAAAAGAATTTATATATACAGTCAACTCCCTCTATAGTCACTCCCGTTATAGTCACATTCTACTATATAGTCACACCAGTTGAATGTTCAAAACACTTTATTATTAAAATCTATCCTATATAGTCACAATCTATCTATAGTCACTATCACACCTGTCCTCAAAAATCTTATATTAAAAAGAACCGTTTATAATCACAGTTATATAAAGAATATATTAAATAACTTGGCATCTAATAATCGTACAAAGATGTATCATAGCTTGTTAGAATCGTCTCACTGAGACGAATCGAATCTTGGTAGTTTTATCCTTTTCCGATCACTGGCTGACGAGTTATTCAACAAAATGTTAAACATCGGCATTATAATATTTCTTGATTTACGTTTACTGCGCCATTTAACATTTTGCTAGATTTCTCGGTACCTAGTGATTGTAAAAAGACGATTTATAGCTCGTTGGAATCGCCTCATCGAGACGAATCGAATGGTGGTAAGCTCATCTCTCTGTGATCAATATTGACGGAGTTACTACTTAAAAACCATTTAATATTTTTTAATTTCGGAAATTGATCTAGTGATTGGATTTCGATGTATTTTATACCATTAGATTCGTCGCATCAAGACGAATCGAATGGTAGTAAGATTGTCTCTCTAGGATCAATATTGGCAGAGTTATTACACAAAAACCATTAATATTTTTTTAATTTCGGAAATTAATCTAGTGATTGGATTTCGATGTATTTTATACCATTAGAACCGTCTCATCAAGACGAATCGAATGGCGGTAAGATCATCTCTCTACGATTAATATTGGCGGAGTTACTATACAATAAAGTTTTAAGTATAATTTTGGCCAAAATTATGTTAATTTTTGGCCGGAATTATTATATACTAATATAAGAAATTTTTTATATAGTCACATCTCTTTATAATCACCAAATATGGACTGTCCCAAATGTGTGACTATAAAGAGAGTTGACTGTATTATAAAAAAAGAAAATTAATTAAAATTTATTATATTTAATAAAATTATATAATTTATAATTTTACAATTTAAATAATTGTTAAATCTTAATATTAATATTAATCAGTAATTTATTTATTTTTAAAAATATTATATAAAAAATACTTAAAATTTATAGTAATTTTTTTTAACTGGATTTTATTTTTGTATATTTTCAAAGTCTTAATTTAGGGTTTATAAAAATAATAAAAAACTTGATTTAGAATTTAAATATAAAACAGATTAAATAACTAGAATTAATCTGATTTTTTTAGTATTATTTATTAGAAAAGAAAAGATCTATATAATTTTTTAAATTTATTTTAAATATTATTAAATTTTACTTATTTAAGAATTTTTTAAAATCCTTTTGAATTTAATCTAACTTATTAGGTAAATTATTTTTTTGTTTGATTTAAATTAATTCAGATTAATTTAGGTTTAATTAGATAATTAGATGATATTAAATGATTTTTAATTTTTAATTTTTTAATTGTAAAATTCTTTAAAAGATAAATTTTTTATAATGCAAGTAAACTATACTCAACAATAAAATTGTAATATTAAAAAATCTTATAAAATTTTAAAAACTAAATTTTAAAGAAAATAAACTGGTAGTTTTATACAGTTTTATTCTTTAAGACAAGTACTATCAAATTATCGATCAGATTTTTTGAAAAAAGATCTATATAAAAAGTTATAGGCGTTAAAACTAACTGATTTTTATATGATCAATCTAAATTTGAAATAAATCGAATCACATGTGCTCTATCTTATTGGTTAAAAATTTTTATAATTCAGGTAAAATTATGATATTTCAATGCTGGTCTGAATTATCACATTTATTTGATCATGAGAAAATTTCTTTAACAATGAAAAAACCTTCTAATTCATAAGAAAATCATTACATGTGAATAAAAAAATTTCAGTCTGGTTTTACTGATACTACTTAAAATAAAATAACAACAAGTTAGTAAGATACCTAAGAAAAAAGGTTATTATATATTACAATATCATGTAATTCAAATATGAAGAGTTTCAATGAATAAATTTTTTATTTTAACATAAAATATTATGTATAAAACAGTGTAACATATAAAAATTTTCATTTTTTATTGAACAATGTCTGATCATGTGATATGAAAACTTGCACCAGAAAATTGAAACATTATCACATGATTGTCGAATATAGTTTACTTGCACTATATTTAGAAAATTTTTTAAAGAAAAGTAATATTTATTATAAGAAAATTTCTAAGTTTACATGGGGTGTTTGTACACGGGTTATATAAATATAATTTTTAATAGATTAATTTTTTGTTTTTTAATTTGAAATTGAATGCTACCGACATTATACTCTTTTACTTTTTATTCTTATTATATTACAGATAAATATATGTATTTTCACCTGCTCTGCAAGTTTACTTAAGGCATTAAAGGAGGTTTTGAATGCCGTTTTTAATCTACTAATATGACCCGTGTTTAAACACCCCGTGTACAAATAGAAATTGCCTTATTATAAATATAAAATATAAAGACTTATTGAAAAGTTTATAATTTAAAGTTATTTAATAGAATCAAGTAGATGTTTATATAAATATATAAATATTGATTATATTTACAAAGATAACTGAATATATTTAAAAAATTTAATCTTAAAACTAATACAATTTATATATATATATTTAATAGAATATAAAAAAAAGAATTTAATGAAAGTTATAATTTTAAAATTTTAAATTTTACATTAAATATGCTAATTTTAATAATTATTGAAATAACTATATTTATCACTTGACTACTAATTGGTATTTAGGATTTTTTTTGCCAGTTATAAACTGGCAGACCAATTAGTATATCCAGAATGATAAGAAAGTTATTTACTGAATAGTTTAGTATATAAATGAATTATCATTCTTCAAATGATAACCATTCTCTATAGTATTTAAACTGTATTTAAATAAATGTTATAATTGCTTAATATTGTTAAGAAAATTACTAATAATAATGAAATCAGAAAAACATGGTTCCTATGGTTTTTTTAAATTTTATACTACCTAATAAATACCAACTAAATATTATAAATATAAATAAAATAAAAATTTTTAATTGTGTTGAAATGACTACAGAATGCCTTTTATTTACTAAAAATCTATTATTACAAACCAAGAAAAATCAAAATAAAATATTAAAAGTAAATACATTTAAATCTAAAAATAAAACACTATTAATTTTTATATTTCAACTGACTTTTTGTCATCAGCTGACAATACTACTAGTAATTCAGGATTTATCGTTTTAAGGTCATTAATTGCATTTTGATTATTTTTTAATGCAGCTAATTTTAAATATTGTATACCTTTTTCTTCATTTTTTTCAACCCCATTAAGACCATAATAGTAAATACGACCTAATTCACGTTGAGCCAAAACATTATCATTATCAGCGGCCTTAGTGAAATATTCTAAAAACAAATACCCTGGTTTTTTAGCTTTTTCGAGAGCATTAGCAAAATAATATTGGGCTTCGGGTACATTAGCATCAGCTGCTTGTTTAAAATGTTTAATAGCTTCATTTGTATTTGGAGTGGATGGTGTTGTGTAATAACCCTTCAAATAATAATAAGCTTTCCAATATATAGCAAGTGGATCACCGAGTGTTGCATGGATTTCAAAACATTTCCATGCAATATCTTTCATTCCATTTCTATGAGCAGCTATACCTTCTTCAAGTGTTAAAATAGTTTCTAGAGTTGTCAAATTATCTTCATCCTCCTCAGGAGTTATGATATTATTCGAATCATCAGAAACTGATTGAAGAGATTGGCTTGATAGACGCTTTCGTGAATTAAGTTCCATTAAAGAATCAAGTTCTTGATATATATTATTTATAGTTGGTCGTTGTTTTGGTTCATGTGCCCAAGCTAATAATTAAATGTGGTTAATAAAAGAAATTCTGTGTAAAAAAAAAATTTAACAATAAATGTACTCACCACTATCAATTATTCTAGTGAAACCTTTAGCAATAGATTCTTTATTATCAGATGGGTAAAGTCCATTACTTAAACTAGTAGTATTAAAATCTTCAAAAGTTTCTCGTTTTTTACTCTTGACATGAGACATAATTTCTTTCATTTCCATGTTTTTATATGGAAACCTTTGAGCACCAAGTTCCCAAAGTAACATACCGTAACTAAAGATTTCACATTTGAAAGTGTATCTCTCATCGCTAGGCGTTAGATCTTTGGGCATTTTTTCTGGAGCTAACCATCTAATTATGGTACTATATGTTCGTAATTCATAACTTCTTTGTTGATGTTCCCTACTCTGGCGAAATTTAGCAATCTTTGCTTCATATGTTCCATATCGAGTGTCTCCTGTAATCTAAATTAATAGAACAAAAACATGTTATATATTTAAAATTGTAAATTTGTAGGATTATTTTTTTTCTAAAACATAAAAAAACATAAAATAGATACGTAAAAACAGGTTACTCACAAGAATATTCTCGCATCTGATATCATGATGGTAAACCTGACTAAAATTGTTTAAAAGGCTTGTATCAGAAAGAATTAATAATAAAAAAAAGTTGTATATAAACTTACCATGCTTGTAAAAATACAAGACCACTTGCAATATCATGAGCAATCTTTAATTTTTCACCCCATGATAATGGTCCTCTTTCGTATAATCCTTTTAAATTACCATGTTCAGCCCAATCAAATACAAGTACAGGATGACCATTAATCTCAGATTGACCGTGAAATTTAATGATCTTATTTGATGATTGTATGCTATTTAATATTGATAATTCAGTCTTTATTCTTGCTGGTTCATTAGGACTATCTTCAAAAATGTTTAATGTTTTACAAGCAACTGGAATAGCATTACGTAATAATTTTTTAACTACATCGTTTCTATTAGTCGGAATATCAGAAACACTTTCCTCTGTATCATATAATTCTCTAGGAGATATTGTTGGTGCACTAAATATTGTTTGTTTATTTTGCTTCATCTCTTTCATTTCACCAGCCAAGTTTGCCAAGTTTGTTATTAATTGAGAAAATACTGCTACTTCTTCATATATTCTGTTTACAGTTCTACTCGTTTCTTTTCCTTCAGCATCAATAGATTTCAAAAATTTTGTCATATTAGCAACATCATCATCTAAAGATTGTTGTTCTCTCGTTCTCGTTTCTTGAGATATAATTATAGTAAATTGTAAATTATTACAACAATCTTCTAATTTAATTAATAATTGATTCGCTTTACTTTTAACATCTGCTGCAAGTATGAATTTCCTATAACCCTTTAATTCAGAAATATCTCCAATGAAGTCTTTGACAAGTTTTAATACTTTTTCTAATTTAATAAATGAATGATAATAATCTTCGTTTTGAAATTTATCGAGATTTTCATCTCTACGACGTGTCAAAGTCTTAACAGATAGATTAATCATTTCAACTCTTTCAACAAGTACTAAACAAGTTTTCTTATTATACTCTACGGTCTCATATTGATTCACAATATCATTAATTATAATAGTTACAGATTCTATCCAAGGTAAGAATGGTTTCGCAGCTGCTAAAGATGTTGTAAATATCTTTAAGGCAGCTTTCCCCACTACCGCTACGTTACTCGTTTGATTTAATGTTTTACCATCATCGTCTGTATTTAACAAATTATTGTCATTTTTGTTGGAAGGTTCTTGCACTTCGGCAAGTCCTTCAATAACCTCTTCAGAAATATCAGGTGTAGTTAGTATTATAGGAGGTGTAGTTGTGGGTATATCTGAATTTGGTGATTGTTGTAATGTCGACGCCGACGACGTTGAAGAACCATTATTTTCATTTTCATTTTTATTTTCATTTTCATTTTTATTTTCAATTTTATTTTCATTTTCAATTTTATTTTTATTTTCATTTCCTTCTTTTTCAATGGTTTCTTTTTTTACTTCATTAGTTGCTTCCTTGACTTGTTTTACTTCATTGACAGGTTCATTTAATTGGGAAGGAATCTTATCACGTTTTTTGTTATTTTTTCTTATGCTTTTTACTTTTTTCACTAATTTAAACATGACGATTGATTAAACGATAAAAATGATTTTAAAAAATTCAAATAAATAAAGTGTTATGAGAGGACCTGCCTTTTATATATACCGAATAAATGCTATACAAGTCAGGTCGGAAAAATGAAATTTGAGTAACAAAAGGTAATAAACAGGATTTTTTTTGTTGCATATAATATGCAAAAGTAACAAAATCAGATTTGGTAAATTCCAACTATTTTTGTTTCTTGTATAACCAAAAAAATATGTATCGGATATTGATGTCCGGTTTTAGTTTTTCTTTACAATTATTCTAGAAAATTTTCTTTTCCAGAATTCATTATATTTTGTTAACTTCTTTTTTCAAAAAAAAAAAAAAAAAAAAAATTCCTAAAGGAATTTCATTTTTGTTTTTTTTGATTGATTCCAAAAAGTTTCAAAAATTGGATTTACATTACACATCTCGATTTACCAAATTAAGGAAAACTTTTATGTCAAAGGGTCCAATTATATCCTTCAAGTTGTGCTACATAATCTTTTTTCAACCGAATATACAAATTAAAATAATTTATTATATATTCTTATCATGAAACAGGACTATGAATGTGAGCGAGTTTTAAACCAAGTTTAATTAAAAACCATTTATAAAAATGTATGAACATGCTTGCTCTTATGAAAAAAAGATATTAAATGCATAAATATCCTTCAAATGCACTGGACGATCATATTTCGGCAATTATACCGTAAATCAGGACAACAATTTCTAGAATTCTTATAACAAAGTATATATGATGATCATAATGTTAAAAGTGACATAATTTATAATGATGATGATTAAATAGATTCAGATTAAATAGGTTAACGCTAACTCTGTTATTTTTTATTATAAAATGAAATTATCTTTTTATAAAATATTAATTTCTCTTGACATTAATTATTCAGTTGAGTACAAGTTATCTGCGCTATAGCTTTTCTTGCGGCGGACAAGAGTAAGATTTATACCGAATGGATAGATTATTTTTGACTCATCTATAAATTTTATTTTTAACAAGAATTGAAGATAAAAAGAGTACTAAACTATACTACACTATTGGGAATTAGAATTATTTAACATGCTGAATACAAAAATTCTAAAATGGTCAATTCTAGTAATGATCCCCTATTAAATTTGTGTACGGATTGTGAATATAAATTTCATAAGATGATCATCGTTTTTTTTTTTTTTCAAAAAAAATGTAAAAATGTCGGAGTTATCATATAATGCTAAAAGTTTTTTTTGCGGGTTCATTAACGATGATAACTCAAGTAAGGAAATAAGTGTTATCATCAATGAAGACCCTCCATTAGCTCGTCAACTTAATACCAAGTCAACACTTGAATGTATTCGAGAGCAGCTTTCAAACCCTGATGAAAAATTATGTATTTACGATAATATGTCATTTATTGGTCCTAAGGGAGAAATTGAAAGAATTAATGAATCCAGAAAAAGTTTAAGAGAGACTTTAACAGGAGAAAAAGGAGAAATTCTTAAGATTAAGAAATCTCTGGATTGTTTGGATGAAAGAGAAGTTATAGATAAATACAAGTTGGAATATGGCAAGAAAATATCTGAAGATGGATTAATTCATTCTGAAGAGAAAGCATTTGAATTTGCTAAACCAATTACGAATCAACTAAAAATTTATAAACGTCATGAGTATGACCATAAAACTGAAACCTGTAGTAATTCTTATGAGAAATATTGTCTAAAATATTTTATTGCTAGTGTAAATGCAACCTTACCATGGTCACCGCTTTCTGTCAACTTCTCTGTATCACATGAACATAATAATAGTGAAACGGACTCTAGAGAATCTTCCACAACTTATGATGTTGAAGACCATGTGAGATCAATAATAGAAATTACTAGCATTTTTCCAACGGTTAAATTTAAACAAGCTGTGGAGAAAGCCCTAGAAAGCTCAGATTCTTTCTCAGAACTCAAGAAGATAACGGAAAAATTTGGTGAATATGTTATTTTGAAAATGAAATTAGGAGGAAAAGCAATCAACATTAAACGTTCATCAACTATTGCACAACAGAAAACTAATGTAAAATCTTCTAATATAGAGGTTAAATTAAATACGAACAATATCATTGGTGGTGAATTCAGTGGCTCATATGAACATGGAGTTAATGGAAATAGTTCTTTACAAGAGGCATTAACTCATTCTAAAATATTTGGTGGAAATGAAAATAAATATAAAAAAGATGATTTAAATGAATGGAAAGATTCTTTAAGTGATAGTTCAAAATGGAAAATTATTAGTTATGATAAAATTGAACCAATTTTTAGTATTTTAGATGAAGAATTACGTCAAGAAGTTATAAAAATTGTTATTGGACGAAAAATTTTAGAAATAGGAAAAGATCCAATTAATAATTTAAAATTATTTCCCAATCGTCCATATAAGCATGAACTAAAAATACCTCCTTCTTTACAATCTAATCTACGGGATTGTCAAATATTTGCATCTATTATGAACAAAGAAAAAAAAAAGGATGTATTTTCAATTCAAGTAGTACATAGCGACTGTTCAGCTTCAATTTTACTTCATAGGATTAGCGATAATGATGAAAATAAACCAAAATGTTACAATTTATGGATAGGATGGATAATTATTGGATATCCAAATGATTTTACCAATGTAATGGATGAATTTAAAGTTAATACTAGCAAAACTGTTGATAGTGATACAAGTATCCAATTTCAAAAACTAGAGTTCTGTCTTTTGGCAAATTGTGCATATAAAGCGCCTAAAGAGTCAAATAGTAATCCGTTTGAATCAAATATTATAGCTGGTGTTTGTTTCTGTGAAAATTCAACCCTAAAGGCATTTGCTTATGACCTCGAATCTAGGGAACGAGAAAATAATGTGAATACTTTTTCTACTCATTACAGGTGATAATATTTCAATATGTTTTTATTTGACTTTAAAATTTCTAAATTCGTATATTTATTTTTTTATTAAATATTATAGTTTAATTCAAATTCCTTCGGAATCAAATCAAACTTATTTTGAATTTGAAAAGAAACGGCGTCTTTTAAGATTTAAATATAGTACTCCAAGATCATATAGTACTTTTGTAAATAAACAAAATAAACAAAAACAACCTTTATGGGAATGTGATGACTTAATATTTTTTAGTCTCCTTTCGGATAATAGTAATCTAGGATTTGCATGTATTACCCCCAAAAAATTGTTATTCAAACCTCTTAATGAAACTGCTTGTGAGCAACTTCAGATATCATATTTTCGAATGCAGTTTGACACTGGCATAAATTTGTAGATAGGAATATTTATTATATATTTATATATTACAATAAATTAATCATACTTTTACATCCTATACTTTGCGCGGTTATGTAAGGACTCTAATTTATTATATTGAGAATGTCAAAATGTCACCAGTGGTGATTGTCACCAGTCCGATTTTTCGAATTTTATAAGATTAATATTAAATTAAATAATCAACTACACATATTAAACAGTTATTCTATACGTAAATTTACAAGAAGAGATTTGTTTAAGGCCAAAAAGGCTAATAATTTTTGAGAAAAAATGCAAAATTTTGATTTTTTAATTTTTTCACTTTACTAAAAGTTTTTCTTGACAAAATTTGTCAAGGTTAACATCAAATCAATATTTGTTAACATATTTATTATTTAAGTTAAAATTTTGCGATCAGTATTTTTTAACTCTGGCCAAAATTATAAACCGCCATTTTATAACTCCGGCCAAATTGTAATTTTTGGCCGTGACAATCACCGCTGGTGAAATTTAGCAATAACCCTATTATATTTATCAATATTAAGTCAAATAAAAAATAATAATAATTTTTATTTTTTATAAAAAATTCTCTTCTAAAAATTTTGATCCGAATGTGCGTACAACATCATCTTTAGTTAATAACATACATTTCATCCGCCGATCTGTCATACGCTAACGTCCATAAATAACTTGCATATTTTCTTATACCACCTCAAGGTATATGTATATTTCTACGCAAAATAATTTTTTTATATATTTTTGGAACTTGTAAATGTTCTTACCGGTAAAGTTATTCATGATATATATATATATACATGTATTTACTTTATTACGCTGCTGCGAACTTGATAGATATAATAATATAATTTTGTAATAAAAATCAGAATATCTATGAATGAATCAAAAAAAGAACTCGCACAATATTTAAAGCTGAATTATGGGCTTCATTATAAGAATAAAAACTTTGTTCCTTCCCAGACAGTTGTCGATGAGAAATTGGAATTAGAAAAATATACTGATCAAATATTAATATATGAGCCAATTCAAGATAATTCATCAAATAATACGTGGGACTTATTTGTAAATAAATATGATATTACGAATGATGACGATTCCTTAGAATTTGAGAAAATTCAAGATAAATTACCTCTACTTGCAAAAAAAGATGTCAAACTTCTTATTCCAGTTCTCAGAATTACTTATTTCGGTAATGTTAAATCGTCCATAGTTAGAGAAAATTATCAAGAATTTCTTGCGAGAGAAGTACTAGTTGGAGGCTTTTTGATCATTAGAGACGCTTTATTGGACAATTCCTTAGAATTTGATCGGTTAAAAGCACATATATCATGGGCCATTAATGAAGCTCGTTGGGAATGCAAGAATTTATTGAAGTCTGCAATTATGCATTCAAAAGTGGAAAACATTGAAGATTCAAATGGGAATCCTATTAACGACATAAAGACTTTAGTATGTCATATATTTTATATTTCTTTTGAAATTATGGTTAAGCGTTAACATCTTTAATTATATTTTCTAGACCGATTATTTAAATCAACTCTACAAATTTGAAACACCCACTATTATTTCATATGAAAAGGTGGCCCCTATTGAGCAAAAAATGAACGACAGCTTATTTAATGTTCGTTTAATCCCAGGAATCACAAACCATCATAAAGAAATTACCATGGAATGTTGGACTCAAGATAATATATACTTGAATTTACCGTTCTGGATTAAAGAATATCAATTGAATCATGGTATGGTGGTAACTTCTTATGGTCTTGTACCCGGGATCAAACCTGCTTTAGATTTTTTATCGGTACCTTCAATTAAACGGAAAAGAAAAATAAGATTGAAAGCGTCTTTTATACGAAACGAATTATTACACTCCAAAATTTATATTGATGAATCAAATTTGGAAAATTTTCCATTTTTGACACTTTTTGACACTGCACCAACAAATGTTATTCAATGTAATATCTTTCATGAAGAAGTTGTAATTAACATCTGGGAAAAACAAAAACAAATAAGCGAACCATCTCAACAATTGGTAGAAGATATCAAGTGTGCTTTAAATGACATAAATCCGTATAAATCATTGGAAAAGGTCTTTTCGGAGTATGGTCATGTGATTAGTACAGAGATCACTATGGGAGGAAGATTAGGCTTAGGTGATTCAACAGTCAATGAAAAAGCCCAAGAGAAATTTCATCAATATTTAAACGGTAAAGAATGGTCGGAATGGTCGGATACTATTATATTGGAATGTAAAGATCTGCTAAAAAAATTAAACATGAGTGATCAAAAACTTATTGCATATAACAATTCTGAAACGAATCTAAATGAGTTAAATACTTGGTTAAATAATACTTCTGAGAAACCGAATTCATGGTCTTTAGTAGATCAACCAAAACTAATTTCATTATATGAAATATTTCATGAAGATATTAAAAAACAAATTCAAAATTTGTTGGAAAATAAACAAAAGATTTTAATGACGGGGGTTACTAAACTTAGCAGCAGTAAAATACGTTACTATCGAGTTGAGTTTGAGAATTATCTCCTAACAAGTGATGATTATCAAATTATAGGATCTATTATTGTGAATAACGAAAGATTTGATGATTTAAGTGTAAAATTTCATATGAAGAGTATTTCTGGATTCTCGATAATTATTAAAGAATACAAAAAGTTAGATAAAGAAATTAAAGGGTAATACTTTAAAAAAAGTATCAATTATTTAAACATAATATTTATTTAATAATATATTCATAGGGATTTGAAAGTTGTTTGGCAACTAATTGGTAAACCGAAGTCCGTTGGATATTTCAGTAAACATACGAGAAATAATGAAGTATTTAATACGGAATTCGTGACTGAAATTCCTGAACAGAAAATTTCTCTTCAAATCGATGTAAAAGAAGAATTATCTCCGGATTTTATTATTGCAACTTCTATTCAATACCCTCCTACCAATTATGAGTATATGCTTCAAGTAGTCGTAAAATCTTGGTACGTTTTTAGATGATGTAAATTATTTAATTAATTTGAGTAAAACTTATCTGCTATGTATAGATCCTCGAAAATTATATAATGATTACTAATTCATTATCTTCTTTCCGCCTAAATAGGTCTGGAAAAATAATTGACTTAGATATTATAAATTTTGACTCTTTTGATGATACACCGGATAAGGCATGTATACAGTTGTATGTAATCAATCCCAATCAACAAGAGTCTGTTATTGCAGATTTTGGTTCTGAGCAAGTTTTGTGGAAGCTTATTGGACAAAAACTGGGATCAGGTAATGCAATTATAATAATATTATCTTAGTATATGCGACATTAACAATTTACAGGTTAAATTAGATAGAAATTTTTTATTTTTATTACTAAGAAATTAATATTATGTTGTATTTAGGGACATTGCCCGATATTCGAGTCGTTGTTGGATTAGACTTTGGGACAACCTATTCCGGGTTTGCATATTGTTATGTTAGCGAAGAAAGAAATATACGTTCAAATGATAATTGGTCTGGCGAAATTGGCAAATTAAAAACAAAAACAGCTCTTCAATATGATAACGAATATAATAATGTAAAATTTTGGGGTGCACCAGCTTTGGCTAAAGAGCGAAGTCGTAGAATGAGAAAGCAAAATAGTAATGAACCCATTGACTTGTTCAAATTACATTTAAGTGATTTATCAGATGAACTTAAACCAAAACTTCCAGTTTGTTATAAAAAGGCTATTACTGATTATCTTAGAGAAATCGGCAAGGTACAATTTTAAACAATTATGGGATTTATTATTGTTTTTTGTTTGCTTAAAATCATTATAAAAAAATCTAATAATGTAATCCTTTATTATTTGTATAAACAATTTTTTAAGGTAATTAAAAAAATTATTGCAACAACTTGGCCAGGTGTTAATTACCTTGAGAATGTTCTTTTAGTTATTACAATTCCTGCAGAATTTTCTGAAACGTCAAAATCAATTATGAGAACATGTGCGTTTGATGCAGGATTGATTAAAGAAAAATATTCAACAAATTTGCAGTTTACCACCGAAAGTAAGAACTTTAACATTTATATTTTATTTTTAAATTGAAGTACTCATTTTTACTTTCCTTTTTTTAAGCCGAAGCTGCTGCGATTTATTGTATGGAAATGAATCTTAAAGAACAAGCTCTTGCGCATCCAGGAAGTATGTTTTGAAATTAAATACATTTATTTATATTTATTATGATTAATTCGTCTATTTATTATTTATACGTGTGTCTATTAGCAAATTTTATGATAGTTGATTGCGGGGGTGGTATGGTAGACGTAACAGTCCGAAAATTAATAAACAATGATCAATTAGGTGAGATAACTGAAAGAGCCGGAGATTTTTGTGGAAGCATTTTTATCGATGCTGAGTTTGTTAAATATTTACGAAAAATACTTGGAGACAAACCCATGGATTTACTTAAAGATCGCAATTATGGACAACTGCAATCTTTGATACAACAATTTTGTGAAAATTGTAAATTACCTTTTACAGGGGATAATCCAGACTTTTCATATGATTTGGATCTTGAAGATGCTCGTCCAATTTTGTTAGAATACGTGAGTGATGAAGTTAGAACAAAATTAGAGAATAATGATTGGACAATTGATATTGATTTTGCAACTGTGGAATCAATATTTGAACCTGTTATCCGACGAATCCTTAAATTGATAAAAGCTCAATTACGTAATTCTCAAGAAACTTGTTCTGCAATGTTCTTAGTTGGAGGTTTTAGTGAATCAAAATATTTACATAGAAGAATTAAACAGGAATTTCAACATATAGTGAACCTTATTTCGGTTCCAGTTCTACCAACGGCAGCAATTTCACGTGGAGCTACAATGTATGGATTGTCCATAATATCAAAAAAGAGTGTTATTTCTTCAAGGATTCTTAAATATACTTATGGAGTTGATATGTTGAGAAAATGGGTAAGTTTTAATTGATATTTATATATGAAGAAATAATTCATTTTACTTAATTTTTACTTCAGGAATATGGAGATCCGATTAATAGAAAATTACCAGAGGGATTTATTGTTAAATTTCAATGTTTGGCTAGACGTGGTACTAAAATGAATATTGATCAAGTTACTCGCGTACCAATTTTAAAGAATCAAGAAAATATGCTTTTTAAAATATACTACACTCGAGAGTATGATGCGGAATATTGTGATGATCCCGGCATGAAATTATTAGGAGAACTTATTGTTAGTCTTCCTGGTTCAGGTCTTCATAGATCTATATTGATTGAACTTACTTTTGGAGAAATGGAATTGATTGCTACTTTAAAGAACGAACTAACTGGTCAGAGTGGTATAGCTACTTTTAATTTCAACCTGGATACGACGGCAACCCCTAATTTAGTATTAAATGAATTAGTTGAACAATATAATCAGTCAGAAAATGATTATAAAAAATCAGGAAGTGATAAACCCAAAGATGATATTATTAATGATACTAGGATTCTCGTTGCAATAGACTTTGGAACTACGTATTCGAGTTTTGCATATGTTCATAAAGAAAATCAAGAAACTGTTGTAGTAAATTATTCATGGTAGTTATATTTAATTGACTATAATCAATTCTTAATTAAAATAAAATTAATCTCTTTGATGATACAATCGTTAGGCCAGGAAAAGAAGGTGTCCCAAAAGCACCCACAGCACTTCAATATGATGAAGAGTATAAAAATGTCACCAGTTGGGGGAATTTAGCTTTAGAGGAAGATCCTGATGGAATACCAGATAATACAGAAGGACAGCGTCCACGTCCTGTTGAATTATTTAAGTTTCATATATCAAATTTAAGCAAAAAAGAATTACCTTGGTTACCGCCTCAATTACATTATACAAAAGCTATTGAAGATTATTTAACTCAAATGAGAAAATTAATTCAAGTAACTCTAGTAAGACGATGGCCTACTATAAATTTCCCTCAACAAGTCGGTTTTGTATTAACAATCCCTGCCGAATGGGTACGTGTTAATTGAATCATTTATTTTATTTTATTTTATTTTGATAAAATACATACTTTGTTTATATCATATTTGTAGCCTCCACACACAACTAAAGTGATGAGAGAATGTGCATATAAAGCAGGATTATTAACATCTTTGAATTCACAACGACTCGAATTTACAACTGAACGTATGTCTATTATATTAATTATCCTGATTGTTATATTTATATTTATATACTTTACTTAAGATCATAACCATTATATTTGTTTCATCAGCTGAAGCTGCAGCACTTCATTGTCTTAGCGTTATAAAAGAACATAACTTACAACCAAATGGTATATTTTCTTTTACTAATATTTCAATAATATTTAAAGTTAAATTAACATTGTTATTTTTTAAAAAAGATTCATTTTTAGTAGCTGATTGCGGAGGTGGTACAGTTGATTTAACTTTACGAAAACTTCTTCCGGAAAATAAGTTAAGTGAGATTACTGAACGTGTTGGTGATCTATGTGGCAGCACATTCGTAGATAAAGAATTTTTACATTGGCTCGGAAGAAAAGTTGGATTTCAAGCTCTAGCAAAAATGAAAAAAAAAAAATAAAGAAAAAAAAAAAAATTAATACAAAGATTTTTTTGCACCCGTATTAAATTTAAATTTAGTGGAGAAAAAAAAGATTATAAAACTTTAAAATTAAATTTACAACAATAATGTCCTAGTTTACCACAATATGTTGTTGATGAAATCAAAGAACAAATGGAAGAAGCTGGATGGATATTAAAAGTTGACTATGAAACTGTTAAAGGAATGTTCGATCCCGTGATTGATCGAATTATAAATTTAATTGATGATCAGTTAAAAAATTCTTCGGAAAAAATTTGTTCAGCAATGTTTTTGGTAGGAGGATTTAGTGAATCTCCTTATTTACTTCGTAGAGTTAAAGAAACATTTGAACATCAAGTTCCTATCATCGCTGTGCCAGCTGTACCAATAGCAGCAATAGTTCGTGGTGCTATTACATATGGACTTAATGTTATTGATATTGTACCTGATCGAGTGTTAAAATGGACATACGGAATTGCATGGGCAAGTTTTTTTTTTGTGTATGTAATAAAAATTTTTGACAAATTAATGAAGCTAGTAACATTTATTTTTAGGTTTCTGGTGATAAACTAAACAAAAGAACAAAGGATGGAATGTACCTTTATTTTCATGAATTGGCAAGACGTGGTAGCAATGTTAAAGTAAATCAAAAATTTTCGGGAGATTTTTATCCAATAAGACCAAATCAAGATATTATAACATTTAATGTTTATTATACTTCAAAATATGAAGCAAAATATTGTAATGATCCCGGAATGAGATTATTAGGAGTTATAAAAGTAAAAACATATGATACTCACCTAGGTTTAAACCGTCCCATTGAATTTTCACTTGCTTTTGGTAAAGTAGAAATTAAAGCTACTGCTAAAAATAAGTCAACTGGTGAAATTTATAATGAAACTACTCTTGAATTAACTCTTTGATAGTTATATAAATATATTTATTTATATTGTATCTATGGTATATTTACTTATTAAATAATAAATTAATAATAATAAATTTAAATAATATTTTAATGTAATTAATAATAATAAATTTATAATATATTTAGATTTATATTGAATAATTGCATTACTATACATTAATAAATTTTAGGATTTTTTTTAAAAAATAAAATAAATTTTAGATCTTTGCCTAGCAAAATATTTTATTTCGGATTTTTGATTAGTGAAATTCATTTAATTTATTTCATATTTTAATGATAAATAAATAAAGTTATTTATATTAAATATATTAGATAAGAAATTGACATATTATTTGCTATTTATTATTTACTAAATATTATTTTATTTTAAAATTATTATTCAATTACTATTTGATATATTTAATATGATTAAATATTTTCCAATATATTTTATTATATATATATATTATATAACATTTTTTTGAACTTAAAACAAAATAAAAATTGTAAAAACTAAAAATATAACAATAGTACTTTTTACATTAATTATTAATATAAGTAATATGGTAAAAAAATTTTTTATTTAAAATTTAAAATATGCATTTTTAATAAATTAAACTTCAAGAATAAATTCCTATATTGGATGAAATATGTTTATAGTTTGCTATTATTAGTATATATATAATATTTGAATTTATGTTGGCATAAATAATAAGATAGTTTATAGTATACTAGATTCTAAATAATGGTAATTAAGAAAATTTTATATGTAAAAATAGAATATTCCAAAAATCATGAATTATAGTAAAAAAAGTATAAAATATTGAAGTTATTAAGTTTATAAAGTGTATATTTTAAAAATGGAGTAATTAATATATAAATTAGATTAGATGTTATTTAAATTATTAAAATGAATTAAATTAATAAATAATAAAATTTAAATGTAAATATATGTTAAAAAAGTATTTTTAATATTCCATAAAAGTTATAGGATAAAGTAAATAGTGAAATAATTAAATTTATATATATATTTCTTGAATTTTATTTAGTATAAATATAACTTCTATGTATACTATTTTTTTTTTTTATTTTATATTTAAAATTAAAGTCTTTATAGTTCAAATGTATTAAAAAAATAATAAAAATTGAAATTTTTATTTTTTCTAATCAATCTATAGTGGTGATTGTTTATGATATGATTTATCTTGAAATCTGGAGTGGCATCAAATAAAAGTAAAAAATTATGTGAAAAAATTATTTTAAATATATTAGAATTTTTGACTCACGGGATCACGAATTAAAAAAAATTCGATGAATTAAATAATTTTGCATTTAAAATTATGAGATAAAAATTATAGCGTATGGTTTTACGATTTTAGACTCTTCATCACATCTTGAAATTTATAAATCTTGCATGGGAATGAAATGGAATTAGTAGGAACACTATGAAATCTTCTTCCTAATGGGTTTATGTAGCTTTGGATTTTATTTTGGTCAAATGAAAATTATTCCGTTTTTTAATAAGAACATATTTCTTTTAATAAAGGTAATAAGAAAATATACATATATTATATAATAAAACAAAAAATCAAAAAATATAACAAATTAAATTGCTGTTCTATACGCTTTTTTTTGGCCTGACAATCACTTGAGCCTTAGTAAATACTCTTCTCTTTTCTTCATCTAAATTTTCTAATAAAGCTATAGCGGGGAATGAACAAATTTCCACCTCTAATTCCTCATTATCTTCTTCTTCATCATTTTTAATTTGACCTACTGATTCCATAACACTGTGATCAAATTCCTCGCCACTTTCATAAAATTTTATCGAAGGTTTTGGCTCCTGTGTTTGAAGACGAAAATAGAAATAATGCAAAATTTGTCTAATAATTATAGCGGCTTCAGAATTAATTTTCTTGTTTTTTTCTTCATCATCTATAGTTCTATGTTTATTCATTCCGTTTAAATTCTCGTCTACTAACTTTTTAATAAGCGGATGGTTTGAATCAACAAAACCACGTTCACCTAATGCTGCGTAAATGTGTTGACGTATTTTGATTGGTAACATTTTAGTATGTGCGTCAGTTCCGGTATTCACTTTGGTAAATCGCTCGGTAAGTTCAATTAATTGATTTGTTTTAGAGAAAATAGCGGCCTCCAACTTATCATCAGTTATAAGATCGACTTTATTTGGAAGATCATTAGTTGTCCGGTTAAAATAATCATCCATATGATTTAAAGTATGATTAATCAACTTTCGTTGTAAAGCTGCACTTAAAACTAATTTTGCATTCGTCTTATTCTCTACTAGAGTTTTACATTTAAGACTTTGAAAAAGTGTACGTACAGCATCATTATTTATTTTAATACCTCCACGTTTAACTCTAGTAAAATCTGCTAAATCTTTTTGAAGTTTTTCAATATCCTTTGTAAGCTGCATAGAATTATTAGAATCATCATCACGCCACCCAACATTCATAATTACACCTAACGCTGCTTGATGTTTAGCAGCTTCCTGTCTTAACGCATCAATCTCTTGTTGCAATTTATCTACTTCACTTTTTTTATTTTCTTGTAACGCTTCAATCTCTTGTTGCAATTTTTCTACTTTAATAGAATCCAATTTATATGAACTATTTCTATTTTGCGAGCTTTTATTTGACTTTTTACCAATCCTGATTTTTTCCTTAGAGGTATTTTCTACTTTATCCTTATCATCTTTATTGGATTCAATATTATCTTCTTTATCGTCTTTGGTTTCAATATCATCATCATTATTATCATCTTTATCATCCTTATTAGTTTTAATATTATCATCTTTATCGTCTTTGTTTGTTTCAAAATTATTTTCTTTATCGTCTTTATTGATGGCTTCATTTTCAACTTCCTTCTTTTTAGTTAAATTCTCATCACTAACAAATTCAGGTTCTTCTTTCTTTTTAATTTCAACATTATCCATAATTTCCATTTTTTTACCGGCAGATTCTTCTTTTGTCTTTACGAATTCTGTAGAGTCGGGAGCCGGTTTAACAATTTCAGAATTTTTGTCTGAAATCTCGTCGATTAAAGATTTTCTTGTGGTTTCTTCTTGCTTATTAATAGTGTTGTTTTCAATCCTTACTGATTCAGCATATGATTTTTCATTTTGATTACTTAAATTTAAAAATTGCCTGAGACCAGTTTCTATTATCCGAGTTTGATTTTCTTTTATTAATAATTGATCGTTTTCTTTTGTTACATCAGTTGGCTTATTCACCCATACTTTTGATAAATATTCAGCAAATTTAGCATAACCATAAATGCGTGATATGAAAACATGACGCAATGCCTGTTTTTGCAGATAATTCATGCTATTTAACAAAAGAATAATATTCGTTAAAGGTTGTCCATAAATACTTTGATGTGAAAGGTGATAATATACTTTGCCCATTACTTCATTTCGCAAAGCCTCATTATTTGTATTTCGACATTCCTTATATTGTTTGATTATTTCATCGGTTGCAACACCTTTATCTTTACTAGTTGCTCCGAAAGTATGCAAATTTAATAAATGTCCTTCAATTAACGATAATTCACTATCAAGTAAACTATTATCGGGTTCAGAATTCCATACTAAGAGGAATAAGTATACAAAACCATCCCACATATGTATACGCCCAATATATAAAAAAATTTCCCATGACTTATCAACTACAGCATTATAAATTAAGTTATTATTCGAAGGGTTGTATAAAAAATTATTCTGTTCTCCCAAATATCCTTCTCCCGGTTGATCGAGCATTTTTAATTTTTTTTTTAAAAAAAAAAAAAAAAGTCGAAAAACGGTTAAATGCTAATGATTTTTAATTTTTATATTAAAATGGTTTCACAAGTTATTGTTTACGTTTTTGGAAATGAACTTCTAAAATTCTGAATCTACATTCCAAATTTACAAAATTAGCAGTTGAACAAAACTTAAATTGGTAAAAATAATGTTTTGATTAACCAATTTAATAGATTTTTTAACTCCGGAAAAAAAAAATTTCACTTTCTTTTTCTTTTTTTTTCAAAACAACATAATACTATACGTTTCGTCTATAAAATATGACTTCAACTGATATTCGAGTGGTGGTCGCCATAGGTAAGAACTAAGAAATAATATTGATAGTTTTAAACGGCGAGCAGAAAAAACATAGTGGTACAAAAATAAAGAAAATAAAAATAAGTCATATAACTTTTTAAAAGAATAGAAAAAAGGTTTTTAAAACAATTAAAATAACATTTTCTAAATTTCCTTTTCATCTTTATTTTCGCGTTAAAAATATTAGATTTTGGAACTACGTATAGTGGCTTTGCGTATGCAAATAAAATAAACCCAGAAGAAATCGAAACTAATACTCGATGGTATACAAATCAACTAATAACTCGGATTTTGAAGTTTATATTTTAATAGTTTCTAAAATACTCAATTTAAAATGGATAATAGGTCGGGTCGTGAAGGATTACCAAAAACAAATACGGCATTATTATATGATGCTAATTGTGATCAAGTATTAAGATGGGGTGAACTGGCACTTTTCCAGGAACAAAGACGAAAGAAAAACCAGGATGCGGAGCAATTTCATATTATCGAAAGATTTAAATTACATTTGGATAATAAGATGAAGCAGAAACCTCAGCTACCTATAATGTTTGATTATAAAAAAGCTATCACTGACTACTTAATTAAAATGAAAGGAGTAAGCAATTTTCTTCTTAAAATATCTTTGTTTGATTTAATAAATAATCTCTAATTTTTAATTCGATAAAGGTTATCGAGGAATCTCTTGAAAGACGTTGGCCTGGACTTAGCTTAAAGCAGGTTTTGTTCGTATTATCCGTACCAGCTGAATGGGTAGATTTATTTTGGAACTCATTGTTACTTTATGGATCTTATAAAAGCATTCTTATTAATTGTTATATTATTTTTTCAAATAGTTGCCTTATACAAGAGCTGTTCTTCGAGAATGCGTATTTAGAGCAGGATTTATTGATGAAGATACTCACTCAAATTTAGAGTTTATAACTGAACGTAAGAAGAGAATTCTGATCATGCGACTTTATATTAATTATAAATTCATTATTAATTTTTTTTTCCTCTTGGATTTAAAGCTGAGGCCGCAGCCATCCATTGTTTATCTGTATGTAATGAACATGATTTGGAAGAAAATGGTTTGTAAATATCTTAATCTATAAAATCGATATATCATTAGATTGTTTCTATCATTCATATATCAATTAAATTATTTTTCAGATACGTTCCTCGTTGTTGACTGTGGAGGCGGAACAGTAGATTTAACAGTACGCACATTACTTGCAGGCAACAAATTACGTGAAGTAACAGTTAGATCAGGAGGCCTTTGTGGAAGCACTTTTGTTGACGATGAATTTCTTAAATTTTTGGGTCGTAAAGTTGGTATTAAAGCTTTAGGAGCTTTTAAAGAACAAGCTTATGAAGACTTGCAAAAACTTATTCATCGATTTTTTTGTCGATACGTAAAATTACCTTTTACCGGATACGAAGATGAATTTGAACCGATTGAATTAGATTTAGAAACTAATTGTTCAGCTTTAATACCATATATTAGTGGAGAATTAAAGGATAAACTTGAAGAAGAAGATTGGATTATCGATATAGAATACGACGATGTTAAAAATATGTTTGACCCTGCAATCCAAACAATAATTAGATTAATAGACGCACAATTAAATAGTGTTCCTCCAAATAAAGTTAAAGCTATGTTTTTAGTTGGAGGTTTTAGTGAATCTCCATATTTAACAAGACGAATTAAAGAATCTTTTGAGGATCGTGTCCAGACAATAGCGTTTCCCCGAAACCCAATTGCAGCTATTGTAAAAGGTTCGAATTACTATTTGATAAAAATCGTTATTAACGTTAAAATTATTTATTCTTATATTCCTTTATTGTTTAGGTGCTGTTTCATATGGCCTAAACATGCAAGTAATTGAATCGAGGATCATTCCATGGACATTTGGAATAGAGGTTAAAGGTCATTTTGATGAAAATAATGATCCAATAAGACTTCGGTAAATCTCTTTTAACTTTTTGATCTGATTCTAAAAGATTAATTTTGATTGTATTTCATTTTTCTTATTTTGTTTTTTTTTTCCTAAAAAAATGTTATTACAGTACTCATGATGGCCGGATTTGGAGATTTGACATTTTAGTGAGTAAAGGGGAGAGTCTTAAATTGAATGAAGAACGCGGCAAAGAATATAAACCATTTCAAGATAAACAAGAAGCGATTGTTTTTAAGGTTTTATACTCAAAGATCAAATATCCAAGATATCCTAGTCAAAATAATGTAGAAGTACTAGGTGAATTAAGGATTTTATTACCAGATATCCATCTTGGCAAGAATCGTCCTATAGAATTCTCTCTAAAATTTGCTAAAGAGGAAATTAAAGCTTCCGCAAGAAACAAGATCACGGATAAAATATATCAAACTACGTTTAAATATCCTTTTGAACAAAAATAAATTTTTATATATCTTAAAAAAAAAAATTTATGTACAGTATACATATTTATTTTTATTATTCTTATTTTCAAGTCTTGAATAATCTTTTCTTTTTTTTTATTTCAATAAAATTTAAGCAATCAATTATTTACCTTTTTTAATTTTAATGTTCTCGGCCTAATTTTATATAGCACCATTTCATCTTTTAAGATAGATGGATAAAATGATACATAATAAAAAAAATAAAGATTAACCCTTAACTAAATTTTTTTGATAATGGTCAGATAATATTAACAACTTAACCTAATTTATAATAGTTGAAATATTAAAAAAAAAAAATTTATTATATAAGGCAATTATCAACGAAAAACAATGAAAATAAGGTTATATTGATAATGTGACACGTGAAATTACTATTTGTTTAAGTATAAAATTTCCTTAACACTTCTTCACTTCATTACTTTATTTGGAACTAAGATTGTCGATAATGGTCACACGAGCTTGTGAAACCGATTGCGAATAATTTTTTTTTCTTTTACCGTGTTAAATGTGATTTCTCTCTTTTTATTCCTAATATCGAAAAGTTTTTTAATACAATTTTGAAAAAAAAAAGATGCAATCTCTTAATTTAAAAGAAAAAAATAGTAACAATAAGAATGATGATAAGTCTTGGGAATGTTTTCGTAATTTTGTTAATGTTCACATGTGGGATGGTTTTGTATACTTATTCATTGTAGTATGTGATTCTGAGAAGGAATTGGATTGTCTTAAGGGTGATTTTGATGAAATGAGGAATAGAATTTACTATTTGTATAGTAATGGAGGTACTGGTGAAGATAAATATAATACGACTAACGAAATAATGGATCAATATGTAAGAAGTCGATTTAAAAAGAATGAGGAGCTGCGTAACAAAGTAATGATATCAGTATTTAGACAACTTGAATCTCATAATGTTTATGACCCATCTCTATCAGATATGATTCATTTATTTGACAAAATGTCTAGGTTTCAATTAAAATCATTGCGAAATATGTTTATATCGCGTATTTATGGGTATTCTAAATTCAGTGAATATTTATATAAAAGTTGGAGCAAGAAATATTATACAAAGAATAAGATATATGAAGATTTTCGTCCAGAAGATAAAAAAGTCAAACAGAAAGTTTATCAAAACATTGATGATACAGAGAATAAGAAAGATGATGACTCTCATCAAGAAGATAAAAAAATTAATGCAAAAGAACAAAATGTTGATCAAAATATTGACCAAAATAAGAGCAAAAATTATACAGAGAATAGGAAAGATGTAGATTCTTATCAAGAAGATAAAAAGGTTAATACAAACGAACAAAAAGTTGGTCAAAATATTGACCATGATACAGAGAATAAGAAAGGTGAAGACTTTCATCAGGAAAATAAAAAAGTTACTGTTGAAGAACAAAAAGTTGATCAAAATATTGATCAAAACAAGAGCAAATTGTCAAAAGCTAATGAATCCAAGTCTGAACACGAAGAAAATAATACTCAAGACCAAAGTATGGAAGAAAAAAAGCATGATTATAAGGAAACTGCCAGCAGCTCTTCAACAAACAATATCTCAAAGAAAAGTTCTAAATCAAAAAATAAAACCTTGACGAAATCGACTAAATCTATCGCCTCTGATAATACAATAGAAAAAAAATCTAAAGGAACTCAAAAAAGAGCTTCTAAAGTAGAAAAATTGCAACAAGAAATTGAAATATTACAAGAAAATCAAAAAAGTGAAGTAGAAAAATTGCAACAAGAAATTGAAACATTACAAGAAAATCAAATAAATGAAGTAGAAAAATTGCAACAAGAAATTAAAGCATTGCGACAGGAAGCTGCTAATCACCAGGCGGCGTTAGGTGGAATTATGGATGTTGGATGGCGTGATAATGATTCTAATAATTCTATGCAACTTACAAGGGACATTGAAAACCTTCAAAAAGATTTAGATAATTTTACTAGGGTTAAACGTAGTGGTATTGAGATAAAAATCGATGCCGCAAATAGACTTTTCGAAGATTATGGGTGTAAATTATCTAAAGAAAAAGATAATATAAAGTTAATATTGGGTGCAGTTTTACAACAACATTTGATTAAAATCATTTTAGAATTCGCGGATAGCTATTTTAAACAGATATTTAATAATAATATTGAAAACGATCAAGAAAATGATTCTACATCCTGTATAATTGATGATAAGTTAGAAGCTGTCATTTTATCCAGAATAAAAGAATTAATTAAGCTGACAACTCGTTTTGGGGAGACTCGCACGGGAACCGATGGGCATTCTCGAATTTTACCAACTAAATTACGACAGCAAATTTATGCAGCATTAGGTCAGCGAGGTTTTGCCAAATCGGATCATCCATTCATTACTCAATTAACAAAAAATATTATAGATGAAATGAATAAATATCGGATTATAGAATCTGCTGATAAGAATTCAAAGATAACTACGATTATTTTTCAGGTTATCCGAATTTTTTATTTTCGTCTTCACACACAAGAACCAGTTCCTTCATGGGAATTTTATAAAAGTGGCGATTGTTTTAATCCTGATGTTATGGATCAGATTGGACAAAGCGATGAAGGAGAATTGGAAGTAGAAATTTGTTCATTCCCTGCTGTAGCTTTAATTAAAAATTTAGATGATGAAGCAAAAAGGGTATTTACTAAAGCTCAAGTGATAGTCAGACCAAAAAAGCGAACATTTTAATTCATTTATTGTATTTTTATTTATTTATTTTTATCGTCGAGGTTAGTAAATAACAATGAGAATCTAGTATCAAATTAGTTAATAGTTATTCGATCAAATATTTTAGAGCCATTTCCTTATAATGGTCTACTTTACGAGTGAAACATTGCGATAACAATATAGTACCATGTATTTTCTATGAACAATAATTCTGATTAAGTCAGTATGTATTAAAGTTTAACTTTTACATTTTCTTAAAATATTCGAATGTAGAGAATCCCTATATCATCTTTTCAATAAATACAATAAATGCAAGGATTTTAAAATACATATATATTGATTAATTTTTTTTTTTTTTTTTTTTGGTAAACTGATATAAGTGCAAAAATAGATACACTTATTTAATAAATAAAATATTAAATAGAAAATAAGTATATTAAACTGAATCATCTTCAGGATAATTAAAAGTAGCGCTATATGATTCATTTGTATCAGATTTGTTGCGTGCCGTTACTTTAAGTTCTTCCTCTGCAAACTTTATAAAAAATTCTATTATACGATCCGTACCATAACCTTTTAAAGGTAAGTTGATGGTTAACTTTCCTAACGGTTTCACGCCTTTTTGACTCGGATATTTAGGGTTTGGAAAATTTGCATATAGGAGTATGAATGTAACTGCTAGTTGATTTCTGCTCAAAGGTTTGTATTCTCTAGGTTTACTATCCTTGTTAACTTCAAGTTTATCTCCCTGATTCGCTAAGGCATCAAATCTTGAAATTCTATTGCCATCAAGTCTGAAATAACAAGAATGTGCTATTATTAATTTTTAAAGTTATAATGAAAAAATTGATATTGGCATACCGAAGTTCCTTTGGATCATTATAATCATATTCGCCATTAATCTCTATGCCGTAAGACCACTTAAGAGTCCTTATCTTAATTATATCCTTGTTTAATCCATAATAACAAGCACCTCAAGAATGAATGTAGAAAATATAAGTAAATAATTATATAATATACTGTATATATAATTTAAATACATATTAAGAATATGTTAGTTTAAAAATACCTTTCACAATAGCAGCAATTGGCTCAGGAGGATTTATTATTTTGTTAATATCAATACGATTCTTAAAAACGGTTTTGACTCGTTTAAATAAATAAGTTGATTCACTGAAACCTCCTACGAGAAACATTGTCTTTACTTTTCGTTGTTTTGGGAGACGTTCTAATTGTGCATGGATCAAGTCAATTATATCATTAACTGCTGGGTCAAACATTCTCATTACATCGTCGGATTTTATGTCAATAATCCATTCCTCCTTTTTAAGCTTTTCTTTTGTCTCCCTAGAAATATATTGAATTAGAGCTGGACACCATTTTTCTAAATCTAATTCAATTGACTCAAATTCATCAGATTCTCCATCAAAAGGTAATTTAACTTCTGGACAAAAGAACTTGTAAATCAATTTTTGTAAACTTCCATAATGATTTTCTTTAAACTGATCCATAGCTTCTGAACCAACTGTAAGGCGTAAAAACTTCAGGAATTCTTGGTCTACAAAAGTACTACCACAAAGACCACCTGACCTGACAGTTTCTTCCTCTAATGTTTTATCTGGTAGCAAAGTTCTTATCGTTAAGTCTACAGTTCCTCCCCCACAGTCTACAACAAGGTAAGTATCTGATACAAGACAAAAATTAACATGGTTGGTTTATATTATTTCTATTCACGAAAATCAATGCTTTTCAATATTTACCGCCAACCGAAAAGTTCTCGCCAGCACATGACAAACAATATATTGCTGCGGCTTCGGCTTAAAATTAAAAATGAATTTTAGATCCTAAGAATAAAGAAACGGTTTGTAGGTTGAAATTCTTACGTTCAGTTGTAAATTCTAATCTATGTCGATTTGATTGTCTCTTTGATTCATCAAGTAATCCTGCCTTATATACACAATCTCGTAATATATCTCTAGTACGAGGTGGCTTTAGTTGAAAGTTGAAACAAATAATCAATAAATAAATATTACACATGTAAATGATATTATGTCTACTTTTATTAACAAATTACCCATTCTGCCGGAACAGACAATACAAATAATACTTGAGATAAAGTAGCTTTGCAACGTCTGTCTAAAACTTCTTCGATTACCTTCATAAGATAAAAGTTTAAGTAAATATAATGTAAAAAAAAAATCATATACGTATTTTACGTACTTCTTTCATTTTAACAAAATAATCAGTAATCACTGTCTTGGCATCTAAATTTTTCGGTAATACGGGCCAATTATCTTTTGCATCTTCATCCAGCAACAATTTAAATCTTTCAATGATATAATGAACTTGATCCACTCTTTTAGATGGTTCATAAATAAGAGCTTGTTCACCCCATTTTCTATGGAGCTCTAAAAATTCATCAAAATATAACAAAGCAGTATTTGTTTTTGGTAACCCTCTTCTTCCCAACCTATTTTTTATATATAAATAAATGTATATAAATAGAGAATAAATATAAAAAAAGAATATTCATTCTTTTACATATTTACCAAATATTATTAAGGCGAATATTGTTAATATTAATTTCTTCGGGTTTAGCTTTTTTCGCAAATGCAAACCCACTAAAAGTTGTTCCAAAATCTTTTTTTAAAATAAATAAAACTTAAAAATAATGTATAAAGTTATTACCAATACTTTATTTTGTAATTAATTTACACACCAATAGCTACAATCACATCGATATCATTTTCCGAAGACATGTTTTGGGAAATGAAAGTAAAAAAAAACCAACCCGTTTGGTTTTATAGAACAATTCTTGTTTTTTTCACTCGGAAAAGGAAATGTTAATGTACATCAATTTTATTTATCATGCTCATAAATTTAATAAAAGAAACGGGCATTACGCAAATCTTTTTTTACAAATCAAATTATAGATAGGAAAGAAAGTTAATTCACGTGTTTAAATTCACTTTAATAAAAATATTTATTTAAAATTGTAGATAAATTTCTTATAATTATATCCTGATAGTATAAAGTTGTACTGTATATAAAAAACATATTCAATAATTTTTCTCAGAAGATTGGAAATTAATAGTCTGACTCTTCATCTTCATGAAACTCTTCTTTTGGTCTCGCTATCACTTGAGCTTTAATATAAGCTCTTTCATCAGATTCTACGATAATAGCGGGAAAAGAGCAAATTTCAACTACATAATCTTCATAATGACCTTCCCACATTCCATCCATATAAAAAGGATCGATATTGGTACCACTTTCATAAAATTTAACTGAAGGGGTTGGCTCCTGTGTTTTAAGACGAAAATAAAAAATTCGAAGAAATTGAATAAGTATTGTAATTATATCATCTTCAAATTTTTTATTTTTCTCTTCGGAATCTAAAATTCGATATCTATTCATTTCTTTTGTAAGATAATTTACTAATTGATTAACGAATGGATGATTTTTGGAAAAAACTCGATGGCCTAATGTCGCGTAATTTTGTTGGCGTAATATAGTTGGTAACGTTTGAGCATTTTCATCAATTTCCAAGTTGGTATTTTCGAATTGACTTGTTAGATTAATTAATTCTTCTGTTTTGGATCTTATAGCGGCCTCTAAATTATCATTTTTCTGTGATCCTGTAGAATAATACTCTGAATTATCATTTTTCTGTACTCCTGTAAAGTAATAATCCGCACTATCCCAAATATTTTTAATTAAATGTCGTTGCAAAACTGCATCTAAAACCAATTTCATTTGCTTTTTATTGACATTAGTGGTACAATTATAAGAATTAAATAATTCTGCTACAGCTTCCTTTTTAATTTCTTTAACATTACGTTTAACTCCAATTGCTTTATTTAAAGCCCGATTAAGATTCTCAATATCTTTCACTAATTGTATAGAATTATTTTTATCGTTATCACGCCATTCAGCATCTACAACATTATTTTGATTCAGCATAATAATTTCGCGTTTGCTGTTTTCAGTCGATTCTATTTCTGTTTCTTGTTCTAATATATTCTTAGTTTCGATTTGTTTTGCGATAGAGCGGAAAGATTCCATTCTAGATAATATCATCTTTCTTAAATTTTCTTTATGATAGGTATAACAATGGTTTAATTGTTTCTCAAAAATACGAGAATCATACGGTAATCCAAAACTTTCTAATTCTTCCCAAGCATTATCGGATAAAGTGTTTCTTAGCGAATTTTTTTCGCTGAGACGACAATTTTTATAATCATCTAAAGTTTTAATAATAGTAACTTCTCGTTCATTACTAAGTGCTTTTAAAGTAGCTAATTCTTTTATTAACCGAATAATACTATTTGTTTCGTCAGCGAGTTCTTCTGAAAGTCTTGCATGATTTTGTTTTCGTAATGAAATAGCATTCCAAACTATAATAAATAAATAAATTAAACTTTCGATTTCTTTCAAAGATGCAATCCACATAAAAATTTTCCAGCCATAATGGTGAATTGAACCTAAACTATCTGCTGGTTCTCTTTGCCTAGACGGAGCTGAAATTGTGGATGAAACTGAAGTTGTACTTACTTTCGACATAATATCAAGAAAAAGTTCAAAAACAATTTGCTATCGTAAAAAATTTTTCATAGCTGAACAGGCGTATTTCCTATTCTGGAAATTCCTTGATAATCGTCTAGATAAGGAACATCGCTGTACAACATTAGTACATTAGTTGAATTAGAAAAAAAAATTTTAATTTTTAGTTTTAATTGCATATTATATAATTGAATAATAACTATAATATAAGAACAGATTTTAAAATAGTGGATAAATATTTGTTTAATTTATACATGTTCAAATTACTAAATCTAAATATTAACGGAAAGATTTCATATTAAAAAAATAGAAATAAAATTTTTTTAAAACAGATTATAGGTTGAATTTAATAAGATTAATTTGAATATAAAGTTATTTTAATTTTTAAAAAAAATTGACCATCACAAAAGAGTCACGTGAAATAATAAATACACCAATTTCCTGGTTACACTTGTACCAATTTTCATATGGTTGAAAAAATTATTTAACTGTTGTGTCAATGCCAACATCCAACCCATTCAGCAAATTCATCCTATTTCCGGACAACTCCAAATTAAGTTATCCGACATATCCAACATCAACAAGGTTATTCGAAACCAAATAATTTCCCTCATAATCATGATTTATGACCAAGATCTCACTTGGCGTATTTTTCATATATTCGGACATTTGTGTATGTGGGAAGAATTTGTGTGTCTATATATCATAGTGTTGGATTGTGATTTGGAACCGAATATAATCGATGTGGAACAAGAAATTGAAAATATTAAAGGTTTTATTAAGCAATTTTCTATCGGCTTAAATACAGAAATTACAAATATTTCATATTGGATTGGTATTATTGATAGGTATTGGGATAGTCGTACCCAATTCAATGAAACAGAACTCGCTGCTGTAAAGGCAATTGTTAACAAACGACTCGATACAGATTATTTTCGTAATCTTAATGAATTAATTAATTATTTAAAACAAATGACAAAATTCCAGATAAAAACATTAAGACATATTTTTATGACACGTTTATACGGATATTCACATTTTGCAAGTTATCTTAGTATATTTCACCATCAACAAGATGATACAAATAAATCAGATGAAGATATTGAAAAAATAGTATATGAAGGTACAATGGCAAAACAAGAAGCGGAAACAAAATTGGAAAATCACAATTATTTAAATGATTTAAATGAACGAATCAATAATTTACAGAAAGACAATGATGAATTAACGAGTAAACTTAAAGTGGCTCAAATACAATTAGAAGACAATGAATATAAAATTGGAATTCTTGAAACAGAAATAAATTTGTTACAGGAACAAAGAAATTTTAATAATGTTAGGATAGGTGACGTCACGGATGTTGAATGGCGTGATGATGACGAAAATAATTCTACGCAACTAGTGAAGGACATTAAAAAACTTAATAGAGCCTTGAATAAAATTACTGAAGTTAAACGTAATGTTAAAGAGATTAAAAAAGAAACTGTAACAGAATTATTTTCATCTCTTGGATGTAATACTACTATAAAAGATAAGCAAATGAAATTAGTTTTAGTTGCAGCTTTACAACAAAAACTAATTAGATGTATTATAGATAATGCAAAATATTATTTTGAACATGCTAATACCGGTATTTCACAAGTTCAAAATATAAGTGTAGATAATTTAGAGGCTGCTATTCTATTCAAAACAGAAGATTTAATTAAACTGACAACTCGTTTCGAAGATACTTACTCGGTAACTGGTGAAAATTCTCGAACATTACCAACTACATTACGCAAACAATGTTATGCTGCATTAGGAAATCGCGCAAATCACCCATTTATTAATGAGTTAGCAAAAAATCTTATAAGCGAAATGAATAAATATCGAATTTTAGATTCTGATGAGAAAAATAAAAATTTGAAAAAGAGATAGTTAAAATTATTATTCAAGTCCTCCGGATTTTTCACTTTCGTTTTAAAACGCAAGAACCAATTCCTGTAGCGAAATTTTACAAAGGTGGTGAAGATATTGATCCTTTTTTTATGGAAGGAATGTGGGAAGGTCATCATGAAGATTATGAAGTTGAAATTTGCTCTTTTCCTGCTATTTTTGTAAATTCTGATAGAAGAGTATATACTAAAGCTCAAGTGATAGCAAGACCAAACCCGGAATATAAAAATATGCTTGATCGTTGATCTGTTCGAGCCGCGGTGATTAAATTAGCTTGTTATCAGAATAGATTATTGTATGTATCAAAACTTTAAATTAACGTTTCCCGCCAAAAAAATTTATAAAATTGTATCACAAGTTGTTGATATGTGACATATATGAGAGGATTTCGTGTAAATGCAACTGTGAGACGCGAGGTAATAGGGAGGTAATTTAAATAATTATTGGAGCACAAACTATACGAAGGTCGATGTTGAAAACAATTATTCGTAGAAACCGTATTGTCAATTACTTCATTTTTAAAAGTTTATTAGTTTATTTACACTTCTTACAAGATAGGCGTGTCATAAAGTGTTTATTAATTACCAAGTTTATTTTGAAATTTTATTAACACCATTATAGATTTGTAATCAAAATAATATATGCCAACAATACATAATAAAAGTCAAAATAGTTGACATCATGAGATATATACTATTTACTTTATAATATTTTTGAACATATCGAACACACTACTACTTCCACCAGTAGCACTAGTAGCAGTATTCTTTGGTCTCGTGTATACTTGAGCTTTTACAAGAATTTTTTGATTTGATTTATTATCCTCCTGAATCAATATACAAGGAAAATAACAAACTTCAACGACTTCTGATTTTTTTACTTCTTCACGCCAGGAACCTTGCATAAGTCGAGTATCTATTTCGTCCCCACTTTTAAAGAAATGATATTTTGGTTCAATTTGTTGAGTTTTTAAACGAAAAATAAATATACTAATCACTTTATGAGTAATTTGAATTGATTGAGTATCTATTTCATCTAAAATATCTGGATCAGTAATTTCTCGATATATGTTCATTGAATCACGTATCTTTTTCGCTGTTTCTACGATTAAAGGGTGATTCTCATTTGAAAACCCACGGCTTCCAAGAGATGCGCAAATTTGTTGACGAATTTTGGTTGGAATAGTTTGCGTAATATCATCTTTTCCCGGGCGTTTCTCGTTAAAATGATTAAAACATTGTGTTAATCTTTCGGTTGTATTTAAAATCTCAAATTCCAAAACATCATCCGTATTATTTCGATATTTATTGGTCTTGAAATTCTTGAAATATGATTCAAAGTTTTCTAAAATTTGTAATATAACACATTTTTGAAGAATTCCACCTAAAATCAATTTAGCATTTGGCATTGAGAAATTTGCTTGGCACTTATTCTTAGAAAACAATTCCATGGATTTCTTTTCATTAATTTTATAGTCAGGTCCTTGAACTATCGTAAATTCCTCGAGTAAATGTTGCAATTCTTTTATATCTGAAATTAATTGAGTGGCATTATTTGGATCTTGATCACTTAAACGAGTATTTGTCATATTTCCTAAAGTTGCTTGATAATGTGAATTTTCTTGAACCAATTTACTATTTTGTTTACGTAAACTCTCGATTTCTTTTCTGAGTTCAATTGGATTATCTACTGATAAATCATTTTCTTCTTCATCTACAATATGAGATTGACTTGAAATATCAACAAATGATTCCATTCTATCTAGAATCATTTGACGTACGTGTCTTTTTTGTAAAGCCTTTAAGCTATTCAATTGATGTTTATATTTACTTATTCCATATTTTTCCAATTTGCTTAAAGCATTATGTACAAATTCTTTCTTGGCTTCTAAATCATTATAACTATGATCTCTATAATCATCTAATAAAGTAGAATATTTTTCCAATTCTTGTTTATTAATAACGCTATTTGTGAATAAATCTTCGACATGATTTTTCATTTGGCCGACTTCGTCATTAAATTCCAAGGAACGGCCAACACGATCATTATCAAGCCTAAGAGAATTCCAAACTATAATAAAAAGATATAAATATTCCTCGAACCGCTTTAAAGAAGCGAGCCAGATAAAAAGAAGGTAGTCATCGTTATAATCCAAGTTATGTTGAGCATTATTGTTATTATAGTTATTATAGTTACTATGACGAGTACTATGTTTGTCATAGCTTTTATACCTGGGATTTACATAATTTGAATTTGAACTTGACCCTTCCATTTCTTAATACTAAAGAGAATAAAGAGAGGGGTGAGAGAATAAAAATTAAAAGAGAATAAAAGAGGAATTTTAAATGTAACCGATCTAATTTTGTGTCCAACCGTCCGTGTCCCATACATCATTGTGGCTGATTGGTTCATTCCTTGTTTTTATTTTGGGAGGCGTTGCAAAAATAGTCGGATTTTCTTGTTTTAAGTGGTTATTGTTGTATATACTTACCTTATTGGGAGTAATTATTTATCAACTGGTCATTTCTTTAGTGGATTACCTTACAATTAAGAGCTGGGTTCCTTTCTTTTCTCACCTTTATCACCTTTATCTTTAAGAAGGTAAAAATGGCTCTACAAGATATTAGAATTCTTGTTGCTTTAGATTTCGGGACGACCTACTCGGGTTTCGCTTACGTGCATAAAGAAAACCCGGATAATATTGAAACAAACCATACTTGGTAAGTTAAATATATGTATTTTTTTGGAAACTATGACGTTATCATAGTGATCTTGATTAAAAATGGAAAAATAAAAAATTTAATAGGCCAGGACGCGAAGGTGTTTTTAAAACTCCTACTGCACTTCTATATAATGAAACTTATACTCAAGTTAAAAGTTGGGGTGACTTAGCATTAGAGGAAGAACCTGAATATATGGTTGATGATTCAGAAGAACGTTCTCGTCCAATTGAACTGTTTAAATTACATATTTCTGATTTAAAAGATAATCAAAAGCCTTGGTTACCTTCGCAATTAAATTATAAGAAAGCAATCGAAGATTATTTAACTCAAATGCAGATATTGATTAAAAGTACACTAGAAAGAAGGTGGCCAGCAATTAGATTTCCACAACAAGTTGGATTTGTTCTAACCATTCCTGCTGAATGGGTACGTGCATGAATAACGTGATAGGACTTTAGTGATTATTTTACATTGTTAACGTTAAAATTTTTTGTAGCCAAATAATACTACAGGAATCATGCGTGAATGTGCATATAAGGCTGGTCTCTTGAGTACATTAAACTCTGCACATCTTGAGTTTACTACTGAACGTGTGTATAGTAAATTAATTGTTTTATATCATAGATTGGAATTGAATTAATTTTCTCTTTATTACAGCGGAAGCAGCTGCTTTATATTGTTTAAATGTTGTTAAGGAGCATAATCTTCATCCCGGAGGTAATAAAGATTTTTAAATAAGATAAAATCGAAAAATTGTTTCTTATTAATCTATTTATGTACTTCTTTAAAAAAAAATAGATTCTTTCCTAGTTGCAGATTGCGGTGGTGGCACGGTCGATATTACGTCACGAAAACTACTTCATGATAACAAATTAAGTGAAATTACTGAACGTATTGGCGATCTATGTGGTAGCACATTTGTTGATAAGGAATTTTTACAATTTCTTGGACGTAAAGTTGGATTTCAAGCATTAGAAACATTAAAACGATGTAATTATGGACAAATGCAGCATTTGATTCAACAATTTTTTTGTAATTTGGTCAAATTTAAATTTAAGGGAGATCCTACAACTTTCAAACCAATGAGACTTATTTTACACAGATATTGTCCTGATTTACAGGAATATGTTACGGGAGAACTTAAAGAAAAAATGGAAGAAGCTGGGTGGATTGTAAAGCTCGATTTTGAATCAGTGAAAGGAATGTTTGACCCGGTTGTGGATAAGGTTATAAAATTAATTGATGGTCAATTAAAAGAAGCAAGGGATCGATGTTCTGCAATGTTTTTAGTGGGCGGATTTAGTGAATCACCTTATCTTTTGAATAGAGTAAGAGAAACCTTTAGAGATCAAGTTCCGATTATTGCAGTACCAGCTTTACCAATAGCAGCAGTCGTTAGAGGTGCTGTAGCATATGGATTAAACGTTGAAATTGTACAAGAACGTGTTCTTAAATGGACTTATGGTATCGAAGTTTGCCGAAGTTGGGTACGTGTGATTTGTTATTTTGTTCGATTTGATTCTTTATGCACGAAGATTTTATTTACTTTGATTTACATATTATGTAATACTTCTTTTTTAGGTTTCGGGTAAAGATAAGAAAAATAGGAGGACACATGATGGATTAATTTTTTATTTTTATAAATTAGCACAGCGTCGTACTAAAGTAGATGTTGATAGAAAATTTTCAGGAGAATTTAGTCCAGTTCGAGCAGATCAAACTCATATAGTATTTAACGTTTATTATACAAGAAATGATTTTGCGAAATATTGTAATGAGTCTGGTATGAAGTTACTAGGAACTTTACGTATCAACACACCAGATACTCATTTTGGTCTTAATCGTCAAATAGAATTCTCATTGACTTTTGCGAAGATGGAAATTAAAGCAACTGCAAAGAACAAACGAAATGGAAAAACTTACGATGAAACTACTTTTGAATTAGACATTTAATTAGTATTTTTGTGTCATAATTTTTGGTTATTTGTTGAAAATAAATTGGCATGTTACATTTCTAGATATATATGTAATATGTAAATAATGTAATATAACATTATAATTTTTTAAGTATCATTGTTTTGATTAGTCAAAGTTTAATATTACGTAATTTTTTTTTTAATTTTGTACTTTGTACTGTGGTCAATAAATAATTTTGTTTAAGATGAACTGCGTGTATGACTCATTTATATTAATAAAATGAAATATAAAAAAAAAATGCTGATAATATGAAGATACTCTACTTTATTGGCATAACAATAAATGCTATCATACAATAAATCTGTACCCTTAAATTTCCTATCATTCTGTAGCTTCAAAATAAGAACTATTTTTAGCATAAGCGAATTTAGCTGTGTAAATTTTTCGGCTATTCTTATTTCTAGCATTAGCGGTAATTAATAGCTCTCCAAACATTAAACTAAATTCTACTGGTCTATCAGTACCGCCTTCTATGTCCGGTATATCAATTTCTAATTCTCCAATCTTACGCATACCCTCTTCATCACAAAATCTTGAATTCTTTCTAGGTGTAGCAAAAACACTAAACAAAATAGCATTTTGATCTGGATAAATTGGATAATATGTTCCTGAACATGGTTCATCTGGTGCAACTTCTCTGCCTCGAGTTGCTAAACAGCTGAATTTATAAATGCGTCCGTCAGAAGTTTTTCTTTTCTTTGGGTCAACTCCGGAGCGCCACAGAGGATAAACTCGGACTCCTTTTAATTCCACAAAAACAATAAAAAAGTTTTAAGTATTTTTATCTTTTAAAGAAATAATTATCTTTGATACGTTACCATAATTCATGGTGAGAACGCGAGTAGCAACTGCTGCTTTGTCAAGTCCATACATAACAGCTCCGCGCAAAACAGCTGTGATCGGATTCTGAGGTACCGTAATAATAGGCACGACCGATGTAAAAGCATCTTTTATTTTCTTAACTAAATATGGACTTTCAGAGAATCCACCAACCAAAAACATTGCAGAACATTTTTGTTTAGAAGAAGCCAATTGATCTCTAATCAGATTTAAAATCTTCTCAACAGCAGGTTTGTCAAACATAGCCAAAACATCATCATATTTAATTTCGATCAACCAATCATCATCTTCCATTGCGTCTTTAGTTTCATCAGTAACATATTTCATTAATGCTGGACATGTTCTTTCAATATCCAAATCGATGCTACGAAAATCATTACTTTCACCAATGAATTCAAATTTTATCCTTGGACAAAAGAAATGATGAATTAAATATTGATATTGACCATAATTTTCCCTTCTGAACTCATCCACAGCTGCAAATCCTAATTTCTTTTCGAGAAATCTAATGAATTCTCTATCGACATATGTACTTCCACATAGATCGCCCGTACGTTCTGTAATTTCACTTAATTTATTATCAGGTAACAACGTTCGTGTCGTCAAATCCACTGTACCACCGCCACAATCGACGACCATGAATGAGGCTGATATAAATAATGTATTAATGGAATATGTACTTATTATACCGTATCACTTATTATTTTAGAATTAAATAAATATGTTAAGATTTCACTTACATCCTGCTTTAACTTTATGTTCCTCAAGTTTTCCCATGGCGTAAATTGCTGCGGCTTCCGCTATAATTTTAAAAAAAGTTTTTAAAAATCTACTTCGAGACTAAATAAATGTCTCTTTACCTACGTTCAGTAATAAATTCTAAATTATTATTTGATTGTTTTTTTTCGGTAAATCCGGCTTTATGAATACACTCTTGAAGAATACCAATAGTATGAGGTCTCCTACGAAAATTTAATTTTAAAAAAAAGAAATAATCACGTGACTATTCGGAATTAACTCTAAAAAGTGGGGCACTGACAAGATGGTGGAAAAATTTTATGGAGTAAAGACGAGTAAGACGAATAGTTACCATTCAGCTGGTACGGTGAAGACGAATCGAACTTGGGTAAATTTAATACCAGGCCATCGTTTATCCAAAACCTCTTTAATCAACTATAAACAAAATGACACAGTTTCTAATCAATTTCTTCAAAAAAAAAAAAAAAAGAAAAGAATAACTTAATCGTTTCTAATATTTACAGGTTTCATCTGAGACAAATAATCAGAAATTGCTTTTTCATAATCAAGACCATTAGGAAGATAAGGTTTTTCAAAATTTCTAAGATTATCGGCTAGATGTAATTTAAATAATTCAACAGGTAAAGTATTATTAGTTTCCGAGGATTGACGACGAGATTTTTTAGTTGGTTCTTGAGCTAATGCTGGAAACCCCCAGCAATTTACTGTCCATTTTTTGGGGTCTGGTGATGCTGTATCATATTGAAGAACTGTATTTGTTTTTGGCATAGTTAATCTTGTTCTAAGTCGTCCAGGCCTGAGAAAGATGAAAAATGCATGAAAAAAGGCGGAAATAATTTCGTTTTTTAATAATACTGCGGAAAAGATACCATGAATCGTTAACAGTGATATCCGGGTTATTTTGATTAGCATAGGCGAATCCTAAATATAATATAAGGATTAAAAAATTAATGTATATTTTAAATATCTTAATAAATTCTTTTACCTGAGTATGTAGTTCCAAAGTCTTCAATTATTTGAATTGAGAAAAGATATAATTAGGGTATATTAAAACTAAAGAGAATGTACAAAAAAAGTTAATCAAAAAATACCTATAGCGACTACAGCGCGAAAATTTTTGTTCATGATTAAAAATTCAATAATTTCTTTGCACAGTATAAACGAGTATTTAATAATAATTCCAATTATATTTTATACGCTTAAAGTTGTGGAACAACAAATAACTGATATCGCAAGAATCAAAGAATCAAAAGAACTCCGAGAACAACTCCGTATAATTTGTGTAATTTAATTTGACTAATTAAATCAAATAGATTGTGTTTAATCACTTTGTTCGTAATTTAAATCAAAGAACAATCAAAAAAGAATTTTTTAAACCTTAAAAGTTATTGGTAAGAAATATAATATGAATAAATAAAGACAAAGGGCGTTCTTCAATAAGAATTCTACTAAATCTACTATACCATAATTGTTTCCGAAATTGGAAGGCTACACGATTTTTATGAGGTAATCAAATGGGTATGACTAATTAAGTTTAAATTCAAATTATATCTAACGGAGATATAGAAGATATGATTGAATAATATTAATTTTGCTTTTTTTTTTTATTGTTCTTTTTCGCATTTCTCATCGATAACACTTTTTATTTACTTTTTGTGACCCCTATTAAAATTATCTCAACGCAGCAAAATATGTATTTAATCTCATTTACATTAAATCATTTTTCTAAGAAGCGTCATTTTTTTAAATAAAAAATCATCCAAAATTTTTTCTTTTTTAAAAAACAAAATGGGTGGGCAGGATTCGTCGTATGCTAAAATAGTATCTTCTCAACAACAAAATTCTTCTTCACAAAATATTGTATCTCAGCCTTCGCCATCTACATCCTCTTCCACTACCACTTCTCCTCTTGCACTTTTGAAGCAGGAAAAGATTGATCAAACGCAATGGAACACTGCAGAATGGTTCGGAAAAAGTGCTTATTGGCAAAATGATCTCGTTAATTGGATAATCCTCGCTTCGGAAGAAAAAGAAAGTTCTGAACAAAAAAATATTGATAAAGGGTTGGAAATAATCAGAAAAGAAACAGATGAAATATTTAAAGCGGGAATGGTTAATTCAGATTCTTATAATTCTTGTTTAGATTTAATCACGAGATGTAGAGATATTCGTGATTCTAATTTTAATTATAATAAAAGAATTGAATTATTAAAGATTATATTTGGTTATTTACAAATGAAATCTGAGGAAGCTAAATTGATTATCAACACTATAGAACAAATGAGCGTTGAGCAACGCTCAGTTTTAAGATTTATGACTCATCAAAAGATTCAATCAAGAATCGCTTTTTTGAGAACTACATTAAAAACTCATAAGTCGAGTATCGATATGGAAGGATATCATTGTATTACAAATCCATATTATAGTGAATTGTTTAATCAAAAAAAAGCGGCTATAACTGAATTACAAGAGGCCATTGATATTGTTAAAGCTTCATATTCTGAGTTAAATAACAAATATAATGAACTATTAGCCGAAAATGATGGACTTCGTGAAAAAAATTCAGAATTAGAAGGGCAAATCCAACTCTTATCACAAGCGGATCAAACAAAAACAAGTCATGAATCTTTTATTAGAGAGCTTATAGAAAATTGTAACAAAATGACTCTCAATGACGATAAAATGAAATCGGAATACGAAACGCAAATAAAACAACTGAAATCAGAATATGAAACACAAATAAAACAACTACAAGAACGTGAAAGTAAAATGAAACCAGAGTATGAAGCACATGTAAGACAACTTCAAGAACGTAACGATAAAATGAAATCAGCCTACGAAGAACACATAAATCAACTTCAAGAAGAAGCAAACGAATTACGCAAAGAAGCAAAATCAGCTAACGATGAAGCATCGGGTTATCAGGCTGCTCTAGGAAGTGCAACAAATGTTCGTTGGAGTGACAGCACTTTTAACAATCCCATTCAATTAACGAAAGATATTGAAAAATTTCAACATTTGTTAGCTGATTTTACTAAAGTTAAAGGGAAATCTGTCAAAATTGACGAGGATGCTGCTAAACGGTTATTAACTAAATATGAATGTAAAGCAAATCTCAATTCTAAAGAAATTAAAAATTATTTAGCGGCTGCTCTTCAACGAATGATTCTTGAAGCAATATTTAATATTGCGGATAATTTATATAGATCTGCTGAAAATTCCGAGACTTTTTCTGACGGACGTCTTGAATCGTATATAGTTTATTATACTCAAAAACTTGTTAAATTTACAAATCTATTGGCTAAAAACCGCGAAGGAAAAGACAGCATTACTAATGTAACTCCAATTAAAATTCGCCAGCAAGTATATGCTGCTTTAGGATCTCGTGGGTTCGCTAAATCTAATCATTCATATATGAAGAAACTTGTTAATGATTTAGTGAATAAAATGGAAAAGTATCGTGAAGTGGTTGATGAAGAAAAAAAGAAAACTTTACATTCTGAAGCCGAAAAAATTATTCGTACTGGTATGCAACTTTGGTTTTGTTTGAAAGCTCAAGAACCAGTACCAAAAATTCATTGGTTTAAATCTGGTGCCCATATAGAAACACATCTTATGGTAGGATCCTGGGAGAGTGAAAATATTAAAGAAAATGAAGTAGATTTTGCATTTTTCCCTCTTATTATTGCTCAAAATGACACTCAAGATAGTCAAGTTTTTAATAAAGCTCAAGTTTTCATTCGTCCAAAACAAACCGGAAAGTTTCAAAAAATAAAAGGATATCTTTTTTAAAAATTTCTCATATGTAACTTTTATATTTTATACGCAATAAATATTTATTTTAAAAAATAATCTGTCACGAATTTGTCTAAAGTATAAAGTATACAATGAATTACTGGTTTTATTAAACCGTAAGTACAATATAAATAAATATATTTATATAATTATCAAAGAGTTAATTCAAGAGTGGTTTCATTATAAATTTCACCAGTTGACTTATTTTTAGCAGTAGCTTTAATTTCTACTTTACCAAAAGCAAGTGAAAATTCAATGGGACGGTTTAAACCTAGGTGAGTATCATATGTTTTTACTTTTATAACTCCTAATAATCTCATTCCGGGATCAATACAATATTTTGCTTCATATTTTGAAGTATAATAAACATTAAATGTTATAATATCTTGATTTGGTCTTATTGGATAAAAATCTCCCGAAAATTTTTGATTTACTTTAACATTGCTACCACGTCTTGCCAATTCATGAAAATAAAGGTACATTCCATCCTTTGTTCTTTTGCTTGGTTTATCACCAGAAACCTAAAAATAAATTTTACTAGCTTCATTAATTTGTTAAAAATTTATTCACACACAAAAAAAAAAAAAAAACTTGCCCATGGGCGACAAACTTCGATTCCGTATGTCCATTTTAACACTCGATCAGGTACAATATCTTTATCAACATTAAGTCCATATGTAATAGCACCACGAACTATTGCTGCTATTGGTACAGCTGGCACAGCGATGATAGGAACTTGATGTTCAAATGTTTCTTTAACTCTACGAAGTAAATAAGGAGATTCACTAAATCCTCCTACCAAAAACATTGCTGAACAATTTTTTTCCGAAGAACTTTTTAACTGATCATCAATTAAATTTATAATTCGATCAATCACAGGATCGAACATTTCTTTAACAGTTTCATAGTCAACTTTTAATATCCATCCAGCTTCTTCCATTTGTTCTTTGATTTCATCAACGACATGTTGTGGTAAACTAGGACAATAATGTTGTAAATTTAATTTTAAAGTTTTATAATCTTTTTTTTCTCCATTAAATTTAAATTTAATACGGGTGCAAAAAAATCTTTGTACTAAATATTGCATTTGACCATAATTATCTGTTTTCAATTTCGCTAGAGCTTGAAATCCGACTTTTCTTCCAAGCCAATGTAAAAATTCTTTATCTACGAATGTGCTGCCACATAGATCACCAACACGTTCAGTAATCTCACTTAACTTATTTTCCGGAAGAAGTTTTCGTAAAGTTAAATCAACTGTACCACCTCCGCAATCAGCTACTAAGAATGAATCTTTTTTAAAAAATAACGATGTTAATTTAACTTTAAATATTATTGAAATATTAGTAAAAGAAAATATACCATTTGGTTGTAAGTTATGTTCCTTTATGACGCTAAGACAATGAAGTGCTGCAGCTTCAGCTGACGAAACAAATATAATGGTTATGATCTTGAATAAAGTATATAAATATAAATATAACAATCAGGATAATAATATAATATACATACGTTCAGTTGTAAATTCGAGTTGTTGTGAATTCAAAGATGTTAATAACCCTGCTTTGTATGCACATTCTCTCATAACTTTAGTTGTGTGTGGAGGCTACGAATATGATATAACAAAGTATGTATTTTACCAAAATAAAATAAAATAAAATAGAATAAATGATTTAATTATCACGTACCCATTCGGCAGGGATTGTTAATACAAAACCGACTTGTTGAGGAAAATTTATAGTAGGCCATCGTCTTTCTAGAGTTACTTGAATTAATTTTCTCATTTGAGTTATATAATCTTCAATAGCTTTTGTATAATGTAATTGAGGCGGTAACCAAGGTAATTCTTTTTTTCTTAAATTTGATATATGTAACTTAAATAATTCAACAGGACGTGGACGCTGTCTTTCTGTATCATCTGGTTCTTCTTCATCAGGATCTTCCTCTAAAGCCAAATTCCCCCAACTGGTGACATTTTTATACCCATTATCATATTGAAGTGCTGTGGGTGCTTTGGGGGCACCTTCTTTTCCTGGCCTAACGGTTGTATTATCAAAGGATTAATTTAGTAGGAATTTTATTTTAAGAATTTATTGCGTCAATTAAAATATACTTACCATGAATTATTTACTACAACAGTTTCAGGATTTTCTTTATGAACATATGCAAAACCAGAATATGTAGTCCCAAAATCTATTGAAACGAGAATTCTAAAATCATCCATTTTTATTATTGTCCTTTTTTCCTACAACTTTTTGTTAAGAATTTAAAATTTTTTTTTGCCTCGCAAGGTGATAAGGTGGCAAAAGTATCGGACTTGACCCTTCTGGGGGTGTCATCTTGACCCGCTGCTGATACCGTCCGGCACGTGATAATGTACAACAATAAACCTTGGGGGCGTTTTACGATATTTAAATGGGTTATTCATTCCAGAAGAAGAAATATACAAGGCCTATCACTTAGACAAGTACTAAATATGGAAAACCCCTACAAACCCAATAACCCATTCAGGAACGTCACGTGCACACACATAAATACGCGTCGATCCTACTTTAATGCATTCATTAAAACAAGATTTAAATCAAGTTATTTTGTACCAGTTATGACAGTCAAACCTCTCTATAATCACACCTCACGGGACTATCAAATGGTGTGACTATAATGAGGTGTGTTTATATGCTTCTTGTGAATCATTGGTTCGTATAAATTTTCCGTTAAAGTATTAATTAATAGGGATGATAAATTATAGATTTTATTGTTACATTACAGTTATTTTCTAAAAGTTACATTACACTATATTGCTGTAATATTCAATTAAAGCTTAAGCTGAATGTGAAAAAAGTGTGTCAATGTGCGTTAATTACGTTTGCGAAACTCCAATTTTATTCAAGTTTAATGATCATAAAAAGTATTCAAAAGTCAATGATTATTTGAAATTTATTGTTTGATTAATTTAATTTTTTGAATTTTTTTACAATATAATTATATTCAATATTACCAAATAACCAAAATCATATTAGTCAAATTATGGCTTGATAAAATCCGATCTTACTGCGCCTTATATGTACGTAACGTAACACTTTAGCATCCCATAAAAAATTGAAAAATTGAAAAAAAAATTACATTTATTGTTAATCAATTATCCACGAACTATTATGGCGTCAAGTCAAACACCTTCAAAACGAAGAAGTACACAAGATCGAGAATTTGTTAAAAACCACGGTAAAAATGATTATTCTTTAGAAGTAGTTCATGAGAATAACTGGCAATTATTTATGTGGTTCGCTTCCTTGGAAACAGTTGAGAATTATATTTGTTTATTTATTCTCGTCTGGGATGTTATTCCAGTACGGAATAGTCAACAATTTACAAGAGAATTAAAGGAAGAAACTGATAGTTTAATTCAAATTATCAAGGAGTTAAATATTTCAAAAGAAAACGATAAGAATTATTCTAAAATGTTAGAAGATTACAATAATTACCGTTTTTTTGCTGATGAAATTCATAGACAAAATTTAGTTCATGATGTTTGGAAAGAATTGGAAAACTATGGATTAAAAAATATTTCTTATGCTGTTTTGGAACAATTAGACCGTTGTACATTATTACAAAAAAAAGAGTTAAGGGCGATGATTTTGTCTAGGATAAAATCTTTTCAATCATTTTCAAGAAAAATAAAAGAAATAAAAGAATTACAACAAGCACCCCTTAATAATAAGAATTCACAAGTTAGTAATTCAACAATTCTTGATGATAGCAATAAACAATTAATTGAAGGTACTCAAGATATTCGAGAACTTTTGAAAAAAAACGAGGAATTAACAGCTCAAGTAAAAGACTTAATAAAAGAAAATTCGAAACAACAGGTAGCTCTTGGTAATTTAACAAATGTATCTTGGAATGATGATGATCCACATAATCCAAAAAAATTAATTGGAGACATTACAGATTTACAAGATTTGCTCTCAGATTTCACAATGGTTCAAGGAAGTGATTATAAGATAATTAACGATGATGCAAATGCTCTTTTAAGAGCTTTTAAATGCGAAGTAAATTGTCCTAGTTCGCGAGCAAGCCTTGTTTTAGGGGTTTTACTTCAAAGGGTCACAATTACCTTAATTATAGAATCAGCTGAAAAATATTTAAATGGCGTATTTGAAAGTCAAGAGACGGCTCTTGAGAGGGATATCGTAAATACCACCGAAACCTTAATTAACCAGACACTATTATTTGAAGAAAATCGGAAGGGAGAAGACGATGTCACTAAGATTACGCCAATCAAAATTCGTCAGCATGTTTATTCAGCTCTTAGTTGTCGTGGTTTTCCAAGTGATCACCCTTTAATCAAAAGCACAGCAACTAGATTGTTGAATAAGATGAACAGATATAGACAAGTTGTAGATGAAGTAACTAACGATGAAACAAATGATTTAGCTATTCAAATAACTCATAAAGTTATTAATATTTTTTGGTTTAGTTTTAAAACACAAGCTATTGTACCAACCTATAAATTTTTCGAAGCTGGTCAAGCTTTGGAACCGCATCTCATGCAAGGGGCTTTTGGAAATGATGAATCTAGAAAATTGGAAGTGGAAGTTTGCGGATTTCCTTGCATCGGCATATTTACCGGTGATAAATTGAGTGATAGAATTTTTATAAAAGCCCAAATTATTACAAGATCGAAACGTTTATAATTATCGTCATAGGAAGTAAAATTAACCATTCTCATAGGAAAATTGGCAATCAAAGGGTTATGTAATGAACCCGAAACAGAAGTATTGATATTTATCACATATAATTTATTCCATATTTTGATGTTGAATCGTAAATAAAGCGATTATTTAGTAAATTTTATACTTATTTTTAAATTATTTTTATATATATAAAATAAATACGAAAATTATTAAATTAACGAAATGTAGATTTTTTATGTATAAAGTTAGATTGTTGATCTTTATTAAATATATAAAAAGATGCCAAACATAGTACCATCTTTGTCGTCATATAAATCAATTAATAACTCTTAAGAAATGCCAAAATGTCTCTACTGCTCAGTATGCGAACCAGATTTAGATCCGAATGGAAGTTTAAGTGAATATTGTAGCGATGAATGTCGTATAAATGCTTTAAATACAGGCTTTACAAAACCTTGTATACAATGTAACGAATATCCTAGACTTAAGTCGAGTCAATATTGTGGTTGGGTGAGATGTAGAAATTCAGCAAAGTGTATAAAGTGCAAGGTATTTAAATAAATATATATATATATATTCTCACTAAATATTGAATAAATATTAACTACATTAATATTTTGACCGACTTAGAAAAATTTCGTTACAATGTTAAATTCTTTATGGTGTTCTAAACAATGTCGAGATATCACACAAAATTGGAAATCTATGGTGAAGACTAATGAGTTATGTTTAAAGTGTACACAAGAGACCACTTATTTTGGAAAATATTTTTGTGGAGAAGATTGCGAGGAATGGGTTAATGAAAATGGTATGATTTTTAATATCCGGTATGATCACTGTATCAATAATAAATCATAATCAGTTTAAATTATTTATATTCTTATTGTTCTCTTATTTAGGACCTTGTATATTTAAGCTTTCTAAACAAGGAAATAAATTTAAAGATATTTCCAATCAATTTATGTCTTCTTGGAAACACGAAAATAAAGTTATGCCAGAAATACATACGATATATAAAATATTTCCTGAGAAACAAATTATATCACGCTATAATAATTATCGAGATACTATTGAGAGTTTAAGACGACTCGACGGTAAGCCATTCCCAAAAGGTGATGGGCGTGTAATGACAAAAGGAAATGAACAACGTAGATTTCATGGAACGAGAATGTAAGCGGTTTTGACGTTTTTTTTTTTTTCTAAAAAAAAAAGATTTTTTTATGGACAACAATTAACAATTAATGTTTCTTTAGGAAATGTCTTTTGGGAATTCAAACAGATATGCTTTGTTCAGACGTGAATTGTGCAGTATGTAGAATAATAACAGAAGGATATAAATTAATATATGCAAAAACAAGTAGATTTAAATATCAAAAATTTGGGGATGGAATTTATTTTTCAAGTACATCATCCAAATCTGATGATTTTAATAAAAAATCTATGAAATATTACAATGGTGTTAATTATAAAGTAATGTTTCTAAATAAGGTGGTTGTTGGTAGAGCTTTTGAATTAACTCAAGAAAAAAGAACTTTAACTGGTCCTCCTATTAATTATGATAGTGTAGTTGGTGAACCCAGTGCCTTACTTTATTATGATGAGCTGGTTGTGTATGATGAATCTGCTTGTATACCTCAATATTTAGTTGTTTATGAATTACCAAAATTACCAAATAGACGACAATAATAGTTCATTAAAAAAAATTGATCTTAACAAATCAATTTTTTAAATCACTAACAGGATCATGATGATTAAGAGTATCTATATGTATATGTATGAAAAATGGGCTAGTTTTATTAAAATATTAAAAATATACTTTGTTTTTAATATAATAATTTAATATTGTAGCTAAAATAGCACATTTGAACTGTTATTTTTTAAAAAAAAATAATGGTAGCAATTTATGGTATGTAAATTAAGTAGTATATTTAAAAAAATTCAAAAAAAAAAATTGTAATTGTAAAGTTTAATAAATAACAAATTATTCTTCTAATCACCTAATTATACACTTGTATAATCATATAAAATACTATGTTATTAAAAGAGAAATAAACTTTTTTTTGTAATGTTCCTGATTTCTATTTAGTATTTATATTACAAGTATTTTAATAGAAGATCTTATAATTTTTACTATTACAAATTTGAATTATTTAATCTTATTAACTAGCGAGAATTCTGTTCAAGCATTGTACTCATTGTGGCTCAAAGTACAATGGCTAAAAAAAATCCTACTTATTTATATTATTCATATTTTACAATTTTATTTTTCAAACTAATAAATACCATGTAAATAAAAAAAATAATTGATATATATATATATATATAAAGTTTAAATATCTAAAATAAAAGTGGTTTCATTATAAATTTTGCCAGTTTCTTTATTTTTAGCAGTAGCTTTAATTTCCATTCTACCAAAGGTAAGGGAGAATTCAATGCGTTTGTTTATACCTGAGCGTTCGTTATTACTTCTAACAATCCTCAGGGTCCCTAATTGTTTCATTTCTGGTTCATTACAATATTTTGCATTATGTTTTGGAGTATAATAAATATTAAAAGATGCAACATTTTGATTTGATCTTATAGGAAGAAATTCTTCCCAAAATTTCTGGTTTACTTCAACTTTTTTACCGCGCTTTGCCAATTCATAAAAATAAAATATCAACCCATCAGCCGTTCTCCTATTTATGTCATCTTTTCCATCAACCTAAAATATATGAATATTTTAATTAATAAATTTATAAATCTTTTTTAATAAACGAAATAATACTCACCCATTTGCGACAAACTCCAATTCCATATGTCCATTTCAAAATTCGATCACGTATAATATTAGGATTAAGACCATACATAATGGCACCACGAACTATTGCTGCTATAGGTATAGCTGGCGCAGCGGTAATGGGAACTCTATATTTGAATGTTTCTTTGACTCTACGAAGCAAGTAAGGAGATTCACTAAATCCACCCACTAAAAATATTGCCGTACATTTTTCATTCGAAAAATTTAATTGATCATTGATTAATTTTATAATTTGATCAATTACAGGATCAAAAATTTCCTTAACGGAATTGAAATCGATTTTTAATACCCATCCAGTCTCCTCCATTTTTTTTCTATGTTCACCTGTGACATATTTTGGTAAATCGTATTGTTGTAAGTTTAATTTTATAGTTCTATATTCTGTTGGTTCTCCACTAAATTTAAATTTAATACGCGTACAAAAAAATCTCTGTACTAGATACTGCATTTGTCCATAACAATTCGATTTAAATTTTTCTAAAGCTTGAAATCCAACTCTTCTTCCAAGCCAGGATAAAAATTCTTTATCTACAAATGTGCTACCACATAGATAACCAGCACGTTCAGTAATTTCACTTAATAAACCTCCTGGAAGAAGTTTTCGTGATGTTAAATCGACTGTTCCACCACCACAATCAGCTACTAAGAAAGAATCTATTTTAAAAAAAGAAAATCATATATAAAATTAGTTTAAATATTCCACAAAGAATTTTTTAGAGGAAATATATATGTACCACGCGGTCGCAAGTTATGCTGATTTACGACGGTAAGACAATGGAGTGCTGCAGCTTCAGCTAATAAAACAGAAATAAATAAAAAAAATTAAACGAAAGATTAAATAAATCGAATCATTAATATAATAGACATACGTTCGGTGGTAAAATCGAGATGATCTGAATCAAAAGAAGTTATTAATCCTGCTTTGCATGCACATTCTCTCATAATTCCAGTTGTATGTGGAGGCTATGAGAAGTTAATAGAAAGTTAATTTTAATTTTTCATTCATCAAAAAATAAATGAATAAATAAGTAAATAAATAAATCAATCATCACGTACCCATTCAGCAGGAATTGTTAGTACAAAATCGACTTGTTGAGGAAATATTAAAGTAGGCCATCGTTTTTTTAGAGTTTTTTTAATTAAATTGCTCATTTGAGTTAAATAATCTTCGATGGCTTTTTTATAATTCAATTTAGATGGCAACCAAGGTTTTTCATTCTCTGGTAAGTCTGATATATGTAACTTGAATAATTCTACAGGACGTGGACATTGTTCTTCTGAATCATCCGATACTTCATCAAGATCTTCTACTAATGCCGTATACCCCCAATTAATAACTTTATTATACTTTTTGTCATATTGGAGTGCTGTAGGTGCTTTTGAAACTCCTTCCTTCCCTGGCCTAATAATTGGAATATCAAAAAGTAACTTAACTAGCAGAATTTGATTAAGAATGATTCCATAAATTAAAATCATAATTACCAAGAATCGTTCACCACAACATTATCAGGATTATCTTTATGAACATACGCAAAACCTGAATACGTAGTTCCAAAGTCTATTGCAACAAGAACTCTAGTATCTTTAATAGGTTTAATATCGAGGTTTTGAATATCTTCAATAAGATCTTTAATATTTTTAATATTTTTATTCTTTTTATTCATTGCTATTAACTTTTTTTTTACTTATATTTTTAAGCTGAAGATTTAAGGAGTAAAATTTTTGGTAATGGAAGGAAAATGAAACGACCATAATAAATAAATATATATAAAGGCAGGTCAATCATCAATTCAATTCTAAATAAGAAAATAAAAATATCCTATTTAAGAGATTATTGGCGTAAATCAAAAGTGCATACCCGCCCCCGTACCCTCTCCCCTGGCTGTACTAATTTTCGCCCCCCGTTCCATTGATTCTGGCTGGTGAACCGGTTCCGATTGATCAACATTTGGAATTTTTTGATTTGTAATCATTAGTAATCATCCGGACCCATGTCTCCTGCCGTTATTACATGGAATCCTAGCTAATTTAATAAATGTATTGTTATGAATTGGGCAATTGCGACCAGACTGATGGTAATGTCCAGAGTCCAGACTGATGGTAAAGAGTTATTTTCTCACTATTTGATCCACTAACCGAATCAACGAATGGCGTAGTAAATTAGTATACCGCTTAACGTGATTGTAGATCATGACGAATAACAAAAGGGGGAGTATGAATAACAGCCGCAATTACGTTTATTGTTAATCCACTTGTCCACAACTAATTTAAAATTATGGCGTCAAGTCAAACATCTTCAAAACAAAAAGGTCCAAAACAAGATCGAGAGTCTGCTAAAAACCCCAGTAAAAATAGTAAAAATGAACCATTATATTCTATAAATAAAATTAATGCATTGGATTGGCAATTACTTATGTGGTTCGCTTCCTTGGAAACAATTGAGAATTATATTTATTTATTTATTGTTATTTGGGATGGTATGCCAGTACGGGATAGGCCACAATTTTCAAGAGAATTAAGGGAAGAAACTGATAATTTAATTCAAATTATCAAGGAGTTAAATATTTCAAAAAAAAATGATAAGAATTATCCTAAAATGTTAAATGATTACAAAGATTATCGTTTTTTAAGTAATCAAGTTCCTCGACAAAATTTAGTTCATGATGTTTGGGTAGAATTGGAAAACAATGGATTAAAGAATAATTCTTATGCTGTTTTGAATCAATTAGAACGTTGTTCATTCTTTCAAAAAAAAGAGTTAAGAGCGATGGTTTTGTCTAGGATAAAATCTTTTCAATCATTTTCAAGAAAAACAAAAGAAGTAAAAAAATTACAGCAAGCACCCCTTAATAATAAGGTGAAAGATGAAGATCAAGAAATACTTTTAAGAGAAAATGAAAGTTTAAAAAATCAAATAGCTGTTTTATCCGAAAAAATTTCACAAATCGGTGATTCAACAATTCTTGAAGATGGCAAAAAACAATTAATTGTTGATATTACAGAGTTACAAGATATTCTCTCAGATTTTACAATGGTTCAAGGAAGTGATTATAAGATTATTGACGAACCTGCAACTTCTCTTTTAAAAACTTGGAAATGTAAAGTAGATTATCCCAGTACAAAAGCAAACATTGTTTTAGGGACTTTGCTTCAACGTCTTGTAATTACAACAATTTTAGATGAAGTTCAACATTATTTGCAATATTCTCGTTCTTCTGGAGATATTGATCCGACTCTGGAAAGTGATATGGTAAATGCCAGTGAATCTCTAATCAAATACGCAAAATTATTTAATGATAATCGTAAAGGAGAAGATGTCATCACTAAGATTACACCCATTATAATTCGTCGACATGTTTATTCATCTCTTAGCCATAGAGGTTTTTCTAACGAACATCTTTTAATCAAAGAAATAGCAGATAAATTGCTGAATGAGATGAATAAATATAGACAAGTTGTAGATGAAGAAACCAACGATGGATTAAATGATCAAGCTATTCAAATAACACGTAAAGTAATCGATATTTTTTGTTTTCGTTTAAAAGCACAACCTTTTGAGCCGACTTTTCAATTTTTTGAGGCTGGCCAAGCTGTAGATGCACGTTTCATGCAAGGGGTTGTTGAAAATAAAAAATTGGAAGTAGAAGCTTGCGGATTTCCTTGCATCGGTATTTTTGATGGTGATAAGTCGGTTCAAAAAATTTATACAAAAGCTCAAATTATTACAAGACCAAAAACCAATAACGCTAATGAAAGATATATTGTTTATTCCATGAAGTAAGTTATAATAATCTATTTAAAAAAATTATTTTACGCTTTTGTTATGTAATATTTATAGGCATAACATACAGTATTTTATAAAATTATTTAAAAACGGATTCATAGATTAAAGTCATTCATTGTTTTTTATACTTTTTTTTTCCCGCATAAATTAAATACGTAAGCACGTCAACACATACTCTAAGTGAATCAGGTTTACGATTTGACAATAACGGCCCTAGCGGTATATGATAATCAAAATGAAATTAACTCGAATCAAAGCATCATTATCTTCAATTTTATCAGCGAATTCTCAATCTTATTCTGAACGTGTTTATATTAGTTCAAGTAAACTATGAAGACTATTAATTATTAATTGTTGATTAACATCAAATTTCAATGGTAATGTTTGTGAATTTAGAGTAAAAGTCATCATCAAGGGGTTGGAATGGGCGATAGTGCATGAGTTATGTATTCTTTTTATACAGTATTATGGATAATATATTGACATGGGATTTCAGAATCGAATCTACTCGGAAAGCAGGTGCTGAATGATCTTATATTTTTGTTGGATGGATTGAACTATCTATTTAAGTCACCGTATTGCAGTTGGTGATGTATTAAAGTATGGACCTTTTAAGTTTCCTAGAAAGGGTGCAACCACAAAGACAAGACTACTATTCCTGATTCTAGTATTATCAACGACGTAGGCGATCTCAAGCAGTTATGTCTTATTATTTTAAATCATATAGATGACTAATAATATAGAATAGTGGATGATTAATTATAATTTAAACAGTAGTACAATAAAAGATTTAGATACAGAACTTATCAATCTCGTTGATAAACTTTTTGATTATATAGTCGACCTAGTGTCTATTGTGAAGCCAACTTATATATTTATGCTCTCATCTTTAACGAAATATTCGCAAATTCATTGATTATTTCAATATTTTGGTAATTGTGTTTACCATATAAGTTTCTAAAAGTCACGTAGAATATTATCCGTTATTCAAAAATTAAGATTAGTTATTTTTAACATTTATATATATAAAATTTGTAATGCATTTTTATTATTCTATTTGAACAATACAAGAAATTTATTATGTGATTACTGAAGATAGTATATATTTAAGTTTTTTCATGGTACTTACCAAACTGATTTTAAGATATGATCCAATTTGTATTAAAATTGGCTTACTTAGCTGAGTTATTGTCTATCATTGCTTAAAGTATACCGAATCTTTTTATTATCCGTGAGTAGATACCGGTATTTTAAGGGAGGTACTTTAAGTCGAACACTAATTTTCCAGCAAGGGGAGATATGATACGATTATTTTAATGTTTTATATATTGTATATTGTATTCTGATCTTATTGGGTACGGATACTTTAAGCAGTGCTAGACGGTAGTATGCTATTAGCTTTGAATCTGCTAAACGACTTTACTTAAACAAGTACTTATCTTTAATAATTGTGCATGAACCTTTGTTATATAATAATATAGCAAGAAGCTTTTTTATTAAATTCAGTTTTGACTATGAGTTTTTCATAACCAATAACTGATAAGGTCTCACTTTTTTAATTATAAATGATTTGTTTGCCTACGCTATTTTAATATTCATTTAGAAAATATAAATTAACAAACAAATTAACTATAATTTTTTTTTAATCAAGTGTAACTAACGAAATTCTAGATAAAAAAATTGGTGAGAAAATGGGATTAAGCTATAAGTGGTTTAAAACTGATGAATTTTAGTAATTTTTTACAACTCTAAAACTTCAACATACTTACTAACAAGTGGATCAGTCATAAAAAAAAGAGTTGAATCACAAATTTAATATAACACAAAACTTATCAATCTAACCACCAGGTTTCTTTCATTTAATTCTATTAACATCAAATATGTTCAATTCATATCAGTAAAATTGACAAGATATAGCTTAGGTACTTTCAGAGCCTTTAGCACTTGAGGGTATATTGACCATCTATATGGAACTTCATGATAATGCAATTGATTACATAAAAGCAAAACAAGCTAATGTCATTGGGAGCTGATCTCGACAAAGGACGGACCGAACGGATTGTAAATAAAATGATTTTGAAATTCTATCTACAGGATGTCCTATAGTTTGTTCTAGTATTCTAAATCCATTATAAATATCTTTATATATTGTATATAAAGTGTTGGGCAATAATAAAACTCTGTAACTATGAATTGATACATTAGAATAATTATTTGAAGTTATTCGAGAAAATTTCTTATACGTTATTCAGTTGCGGACACCGATTCAGGACTAGCGTATTTAAGACCAAGTCAGACCAGACCGGCGGACCGGACTTGGGGTCAGTCTGGTTAAACTTGATAATTTGATGGAGTCAATGATAAAAGAGCTGGATCGGATCAAAACTGTAACCCAGAACCTGTTTTTTTTTTTTTAAAAAAAAAAAAATTATTTCAGAAAAAAGATTTATATATTTAAATTGATAAAATTAGATTTCTTTTATTTTTATTTTTTTGTTAAAAATAAACGATTCTTTGATGAATCGATTTTTAAATAAGAGATCTTTAATTCTTTTTATTAGCAAAACAAGTTTCTATTAAACAAAAAAAAAAGATTTTTTTTATTACGACTCATTGAGTAACAACGCTATCACGATCCGATCCTACTTGATCAGGAAGACTAACATATCCCTATATTGAGGTTACTTGCTTCTACATCTAATCGATCTTGTAACAGAGAACTGTATAACTAACTATAACCCATTGACAAACAACGCTAAAGCATCATGATCTGTTTCTACTTGATCAGAATGACAAATATATCCCTACATTGAGGTTACTGTACTTGCTTCCACGTCCAATCGATCTTGTAACAGAGAACTGCATAACTCATTGACAAACAATGCTATCCCGATCTGTTTCTACTTGATCAGAATGACTAACATATCTCTACATTGAAGTCCGATATTAGACTTGCTTTACACTTGTATTTTGTACAGTAGTATCGCTCCTAACCTGATTATATCTATATAAATATGAAACTCATCGGAGATATAATATTGAAATACTTTCATTTCGTTTAAAATAACCACATAAAATGTAAAGAGATTGAATTCAATAATTTTGACAAGGTTTATTCGACATTTCTCTAAATATTTATTATAAAAAGTATCATAAATCCTTTTATATCTAGGATATGGAGGAGTAATTTACCTAGGATGAAAAAAGTTCGGGTTGAGTGATTTGAATCGGTCGGTTTGGTACATCAGTTCCAAATCTGACTCGATTCTGGATCGAAGAAATAAAAGCCGAACCGGTTTTTTGGGTTGACTCCGCTTAACTCGGTTTTTTCAATAATATCAGTTCGGAACCAAACCGAACCAAGCGAGTCAGAAACAAAGTGGTACAACGATGATAAGACTAGAGTTAGAATTAGGGTTAGATTAGGGTTAGAATAGTTGAGATTAGAGTTAGGGTTAGGGTTATTGGGTTAAGGATTTGGGTTAAAAATTTGACCTTAAATATTAAACGTTAGTTACAACAAAATATCGGTCGGTATAATGTGTAAATTATCTTCAATTACAATTTTCAAACTCAATGTTTTCAGGTTTTTACTAACATTTTTTTTTTTTGAATCAAATGTACTAATGTACGAAATATATGAAAATTGTACAAATTCATATCGTACAATGTACGTATCATTATAATTATTAGTACTGTATACGAGCATTGATATGAAAATTTAGCTCGTACATTTGAATTTCCATAAAATATATCAAATTTTGATTCAGTACACGCTGATGTAATGTCGAATTAATTGTACCATAACAGATAATATTTCGGAACCTGATTCACTCTACGTATAGTTCGCTCTCGATAAATTTGCTACCGGTTTTACGTAATACTTTGTCTAATAATTATAATATTATATTTAACAGTTTACGGTAAATGGATTGAATTAATAATTTAATTTCTCGGGTGCATGCGGATACACGGGTATTATAATCATGACTCATGAGTTTGAATTTGGTCAATTTAGTTTGTAATTGAATTCTATAAATAAATAAATAAGAATTTAAGATTTTTAGAACTTTTCAATGTTTTTTTAAAAAAATAGAGTTTAACTACGATCATAATGAAATTGGGACCAAAATTAAATACGGTATCACCAATGAAATAAACCACACTTTAATTTATTTATTACACAACTTAATTCTATTAATCAACTTTTTTAATTATCGAAATTTAATAAAAATTTATTTGTTCATTTAATAATATGTTCGCCAATTATTTGATTGACTTGTGTTTGTCGAAACTTTTAATTAATAATGTGAGTAATATGAGCTCACCGCAAAAAGAATTAGTGAAAAGTTAACTTTTATTATTTGGAAATTTTACTGCGCCTGCAGACTCGTTAAATACTGCGCCTGTCGGAAAATCCTCGTATGACATTTAAAAAAATTTTTAATTAAATTCTCATTAAGTTTGATCTACAAGGTTATTTAATTACCAAAAATAAAATAATATTTACCAAGTTTACCAATTAAAAAAAAATGTTACAATAATTAAATTGATCAACCTAAAGTACGTACTTTATATCAATCAAATTCTTAAATTCATTTAACTCATTCAGTTTAGTAGTAGTACAAGAAATACGATAGAAGATAGAAAGATTCCTTGGCAAAAGATGATAATATTATACTTGTGATGGTTGTGTTACTCGTATGTTTTAATTTTATTTTATTTAGATAAAGATTTAAATCTTATAATACACAATAGGCGTAATGCATAATAAATAATGAAAATAATGATAAATAAATAATGATAAATGAAAAGATTGAAAAGATGAATTTTGTACATTACAAGATAAGAAATAAAATCAATCAGTACGACAAACATACGAATCACGCGAAAGAATAATTTTAGAAAAGCACGTACGATATAAACTGATGATATTATAATACAATAATTACGGAAAATTATCCCTACACATAATAATATAATAATTACAATTGAGAAATAATACAAATTTTTATTAATACTTAAACGTCAACAACGTTTAAAGTAAGAATTTGAATATCATTATTTTCTTCTTTTTTATGATTTACATGTAATTCTATTACAAAATTTTTAATTTTTTCATTACCATTATTATCATCATTATTATTACCATTATCATCATTATTATTATTATCATCATTATCATTATTATTATCATCATTATTATTGTTATTATGAAGATTTAATAATAAATCTCTACATTGAATAAAATTATCTAATCTATAACGGATTGGTAATTTTGAATCTGATGGTTTTGCTCTTTCTAAATATAAAGACATTTCAACTACAGTAATAGATAAATAAAATTTTATCCATAATACAGAAGGACCAGTTATCATAACAAAAATTATTGAACACATAAATTCAACAAAAAAACGAAGATGAGTAAGTCCATTACTCTTTTTTTTACTTTCATCATAAAAAATGATGAAACCAAAATAAACAATAAATAAAAGTAAACTTGGTATAATTATAAAAAGTCCATTTATAAAATCAACAATTTGATAATGTATAGCGATACCCAAAAATATTAAATTTATAATAAATAATGTTAAAGGAATTAATCTTTTTTTAATATATTTTTCCATTTTATTAATTTCCCTCTTATCATTTCTTAAGAATGATTTATTAAAAAAATTACTTTCTTTTAATATAAGAAGATAATTTATAATATAAATTGGTGCAATAAATATAAAATATATCCAAAAGAATATATTATTATTATATTGAATATAAGAAAGATGTGTGAATAATATAGTTAATCCCATATCAGCCATTGCTAATATAATGAATGAACCAAATAAATAAATATTCATCCCATAATTTAAGGATAAATATATGATAAGAGGTATCATAAATCCTGTAGCTGCATCAAAAACTGTTTCAATCTTGCTACTTTGATCGAAATCAAATAAATTTTTGTTCATATTTTTTGAATATTTTAATATAAAATGATTATTTTAAAATAATTTTTTTTTTAAAAAAAGGGGGGGAAAAAATGATGTCTGAAATGTTTAAAATGATGTTTGAAATGTTCAAAATGTTCGATTAACGCAACTTTTTATATATAGTGGATATAGTGATTAATTGTATATTGATCGTTGTTACAATTTACCTAATTTAGAAGTAATCAAATTTCCTTTTACATTCCATTCAAACCTAATTATCTAACTTTCGTGTCAATCGTGTGGACCCCTTTTTTTAACAAACAACGAACAATATATTTTTTGCACCCAAACAATAATTACGGAATGCACTGGAATTATTAAATATAATTACATACATTATTTCCATATTGATAAACATTGTAATTTTGCTGATTAAAAAGAATAAATATTATTAATATTATCCTTTCATACTTTTACGTTTATTTTTTATAATTAACCTTAATTTCTTACAATTATGAAACAACAAAGAGATTATTATAACAAGGTTCTTTTAAGTTTAGTATGTACTATATTTAGAAAATTCTCCGTTTCCTATTTTTTGAAAAATTCATTTAAAGTGACGAATTTTATCCATCTTTAATTTTATGTTTTTCAAAAAAAAATTTGATTATTAATACAAATATTATAAATATTACGAATACAAATACATTATATAATATAAACCTATTTAAAAATTATTGTAAAAATATGTCTGAAATTATTGAAGGTAATTATAAATTTTTTAAACAAGTTGCAAAAGTACGACTAAATTTATCTTAATTAATCTTAAATTAATCTTAAATTAATTTTAATCGTATTCTATCGATTCTATTCACATTCTGTCTTAAGTAAAAGAGTCAATCAATTCTGAAGATAAAAAGTTTGATTGGTCAGATGAAGAAATTCTAATGGATTATAGAATTGAAGATTTATTTTATGGTCATCATTCAGGTTTATCTCTTGGTCGAGCAACTTCTATTATTCGTTCACGTGCTCAATCGGCTTATCTGGTTTACATTGTTCGTGTCATCAAATATTTATATGTCGCTATATATATGGATTGGACTATAATATTTAGACATCCTGTCAATTTTTTTCTTTTGGTTACATTCTTTACGACTTCTATTGCTTTATTATTCGTATCAGCATTATTTCTTCCGGGTTATAAATTTTGTCGTGATTTATTTCGTTCTAAACGTAATACTGTTATGAATACTTGGAGAGAAATTTCACGTAAATATCATTATGATATGAAAGTAATTGATTGATTTTTAATTTATTTAATTTATTTAATTTACTTTTTTTTTTTTTATGATTTTTTTAGTGAAAACGAGTCCCAATAGTGATTTAAGAAATGATTTAAAAGAAGGAATGAAATTATTAGGAAATAATAAAAATGAAACAAAACCATTGAATTATAAAGGTATGTGTACAATTTGTACATCGTATATTTTACCGTTATTTTTCGTGTATTTTACCGGGTTTTTTCGTTATTTTTTTTCGTTATTTGTTTCGTTATTTGTTTGTGTATTTTATCATTAATTTTTCTTTTTTTCTTTTTTTTTTTTTAAAAAAAAAAGGTGAAAATAAAATTGGCGCATTGGGTGAAAGTAATTATAAAATTTTAATTTTTTTTAATTTTTATAATTTATATGTATATAAATTAATATATAATCGATACTAATTTGAAAAAAATTTTTTTTTTTTAAAAAAAAGGAGAAAATTTAAAAAGAATTAGTAAACTCAAGGCATTACTTTTTTTCTCTACTTTGGTTTATAAACGTGAATCAGAAATCACTTCCGTAATTCAAGGATGTGTTAGAAAATTAAAAAGTAAATTAAAATATGACGATATCGGGGATCAAAAAGTTTATAAAAATGTTTATGAAAAATTATGTAAATATGAAAAGAAAGAAGAAAATGGAAGAAGGAATAATAACAACAGCAACAACAACAACAACAACAACAATAATTACACATTTGAAAATATAGAACATAAAATTCGGGATATGATTGGTCAAGATGAAGAACCAATTAAAGAACAAATAAAAGAATTTGATCTTAATTTTACTTCTATCTCAGAATTAAATACTGATGATGGTGGTTCATTTTGTGGAATGTTTTGGTCTATTAAAGAAAATTTTATTATTATATCTTTTAAAGGTACAACTCCAACTAATTTTGCCGAATGGTTAGGTAATCTTACTTTTCAATGTGTCGATGCTAGAAATTATCTTTTTGGTCAAGTTCATAGAGGTTTTTATAATTATTTATTTCCAATAGATGAAGAAAGTGCTGGTAAAAATTATCCTTGTCAAAAAATTATTGAAACAATTAATTGTAAAGCTAAATCTCTTAAAAATATTAATGGTAAAAAAGTTAATTTATGGATAACTGGTCATTCTCTTGGTGGTGCTCTTGCAACTTTATTTTATGCAAGATTATTAAATATTAATTATACTCATGATTCTTGGGAACTTCAAGGTGCTATTACTTTTGCAAGTCCTGCTGTTGGTGATATTAATTTTTCTACTCAACTTGCTTCTTTAATAAATGATCCTAGAAATTTAGCTAAACCATTATGGCGTATAGTATTAAATGATGATTTTGTACCAAAAATGCCTTATAGAGCTTGTAATAAAAGAATGAGGAAATATGGTTATCATTATAATGTATTAATGAATTATGCTCAAGTTGGTGATAAAATCACTTTTTATGGTGGTGATCATGATCCAACTTCTATTAAAGATTTTTTTAATCATAATGAAAATATTATTGATAATAATATTACTGAACATATCAATCGTCTTAAATCTTTTTGTAAAAATTATTGTAAAGAAAAGAAGAATATATCTTTTAGTATTTTTAGACATCGTCATGGTTCAAATAGTTATTTTAGAGCTTTAATTGATTATGAAAAGAAGATTAGCAAAAAATAATGGTTTGGAAGTTTGGAAGTTTGGAAGTTTGGAAGTTTGGAAGTTTGGAAGTTTGGAAGTTTGGAAGTTTGGAAGTTTGGAAGTTTGGAAGTTAGAAAGTTTGGAAGTTGGGAAGTTGGGAAGTTGGGAAGACGTAATTTGATTATCTGGTATAATAAAATAATTCAACTGCAGCACCCAGCGTCCCAGCGCCCTGTATAGTCCCCCTTCTTTGTATAGTAATACCCCCTTACCCTTTAAAACGCTTTATGGCAAAAAATGTGAATTTTTTTTTTATTATCTGGTATAATAAAATAAATTCATTTTGTTTTTTTTAAAACAATGTAGATAAACTATGAAGCGATTGGATCGTACTATATAGTACTCTCCCTTTGTATAAATAGTACCCCTCTTACCCTTTAGAAATTAGAACGTAAGAATCGTTTTACGTTAAAAATTGTTAAAATATCACGTGATTAAAATATACATTCATGTGTATCATGTGATCGTGGATTTTTTAACGCGTTTATAAATATGTATTTATCCTATTTTTATTTATTCAAAAATAAAATACCTTTTTTTGTCAGTTTATTTTAAAAACTCTTTTATTCCCTTTTGGTAAAAATGATCATTTTCTTGTAAAAATTTTATGAATTGAATATTTGGTTAATAATAAAATATAATTACTAAAAACACGGAGAAAGGACGGAAGAAAAGACGTAATTGTAAAACAATTAACCATTGACCGCTCAAGTCCGAAATTCCGGATGGTATCACTTCATCTTTGTGAGCATAAAAAGTACGAGAATGAAACCATTTCATGTGATCCAATCATATTCGTACTTCTTTATTTGTTCTTTTTTTTGTTTTCATTTTTATTATCAATTACAGACCTCATTTTTGTGAGCGTAAAAAAGAAATCTATATGAGAATGAAACCATTGCATGTGATCCAATCATAATCGTACTACTTTCTTTGTTCTTTTTTTTTGTTTTTCAATTTTATTATCAATTACAGACCTCATTTTTGCGAGCATAAAAAAGAAATCTATATAAGAGAATGAAACCATTGCATGTGATCCAATCGTAATCGTACTTCTTTCTTTGTTCTTTTTTTTTTGTTTTCAATTTTATTTTCAATTATAGACCTCATTTATGTGAGCATAAGAAAGAAATCTATATAAGAGAATGAAACCATTGCATGTGATCCAATCATATTCGTACTTCTTTTTTTGTTTTGTTTTTTTTTTGTTTTTCATTTTTATTATCAATTACAGTATGCGTATCAGAATATTCTTTTTATTATATGATAATAATTTATTTTTTTCATAAAGCTATAAAAAAAATTGAAACACCAAAAAAAATTTACTTTCTTTAAATTATTATGATTATAAATATAAATCTAGAAATATGAGAAAATTTAAGTATTGTTAAATTTGGAATTGAAGATACTAGAGGGGCAAACTTTACCGACGTAACTGCCGTAACAAAGTTACGTCAATAACGCCACTGCAGATGCTCACATAGAAATTTTATAATAATTTATATAATATCGAGCACGTCACGAGTTACAACCCTTCATTAACTTGCACCCTTTTTTGTGTGCCAGGTTCGTGGCGCAGTAAATTTTTAAAAAACATCATTAAAGGATTTTTTCTTCAACACAAAGTTTTTAAACTTATATTGTGGATGTAATTTCACATGCTCTGCAAGTTTTATTAGGATTCGGAAGAAGGTTATGAATGCCGATTTCGACTTTACATATAAATGATTGATTCTACCGTCTTTGTCGATCGTTTCCAAAAATGGATTTCGTGAAAGAAAAATTTTTATTAAATAAGTCAATAATGATATTCAAAATCGCCTTTGTCGCTCTAAGTAAACTTGAAGAGCAGCCAAAATTACAACTATCTAGTAATTTATGAAGTTATATGTTATTAAAAAAAATTTTCTCTTTATGATTTTCGTTGCATCACAATCTGCTGGCTGCGTCACGAACCTGGCACACAAAAAAATGATGCCATTAACTTAATGAGTGACGTAACTAAAAAAAGAAAAAGTCTGCACCCCTAGAAGATACAGAAGATCGATATAGTAAAAAAAAAGTATTATTAACTGTTAATATGTATTACAGTAGTATTATTAGCTTTTTATGTATTAAATTAAAATTGTCTATTTACTGTATAATTATAATAATACCTTTCGTTTGAAGATGTTGCCAAATTAAAAGGCTAATTGATACATTAAATTATCAGGAACCCATTGTTGCTATGTCTGTTGAAACCTGCTCTTCGGTATAATCCTTCCTGTTTTAGGCTGTATTGTCAGATCAATACTATCGATTGAACAACCTAAAATTAATATATATGAGGTCATTCAACCAATTATTAATAATATTAAAACAAAAAATGCAATTGCGAAAGATGTGCGCGCTTATATATTGCAGGTAACTTATTCCATTCATTGTAATTATATAATGTAAACGGTAATACTTACTATTCAATTTATTAGATACCATTACCAAATTTCCCTTCAGTAATTGCATTAAATTGCCAATAATGGATCGACTGGATCGTCTAAAGCGGCAAATCACGTGATTCAATATAATATGATTTTTTTTATAAATCAAGTTTAATATAAACTTGAAAATCATAAAATAAACGTATCTTAGCCTGTTCTACAAGTTTACTTAAGGCTAAAAAGTAGATTTTTAATACTGGTTTTCACTTTACATATGAGCAAAAGCTTTTTTGCCGATCTTTTGCACCATCATCGTCTCCCAAAGTATGAATATTTGATTGCAAAATATAATCTTCATGAGTTTAAATAATGAACACTAAGAATATTCATATTTTCGTATTATATTGATGTGATCAAATTAATTATTTGTTTTTGATAAATTCTTCTTTCATTCCCACTATCTGTTTAAAGTTGTAAGTCTTGCTTTCGAATACTAAATCTACTAATATATTCCGAATAGGTATAGTTAAGAGAAAAAGTTCTCTGTACATCTTAATTCACAATTCACGAAATATATAGAGAATTTCTAAGAACCTGGCCTCCAGTCCACCACTAAAAATATTAAAAGTCACGTGAGGAGACTGTGTCACAAACTAATCACGTGTTACTGTGCCACATAGCTTTCTGGATTTTGAATTCTCGAGAAAAAATTGTGCTTTTCGAGCAGTCTCCAACTGATGCATTTTTTGGTAACGATGACTGCTTCCGTATTTTTCTTGGCAAAATGGATCTGCAAAGATTTAATAAATTTAATTCTTGAGTTACGTGAATAAAAAAAAATTTAAGGCAAGTGTTTATTTGTTGATTCAACATTTCAACTATGTTACCATTGCTGATTGCTTGCTGGTAGCGGGAATGGTTGTTTACTTGTAGTTAGCCTTATGTCAATGCAATTTAGAAAAAAAAATAATAAATTGAAAAGTTTTTTTATTTTGATTGAATATGTGGCTTAGGGAATTACATCATCGTACAATTGATCAAGAATTTTCTTATCACTTCGCAAAGTTGGTTATCCGTGATAAGTCAGAATTTTTTTGCGAACTTTGTTGGATTATATGATCGAAAGCTAGGCATTTGTTACCATATGACACATAGGTTAAAATTGGTACTACGCTAAAGATTCGTTGTATTGTGAAATTCGTTATATCAAATTCAGAGTTGACTGTAAAATTTCCATAATGTACCGATACTTTGATATACCTATATTTGTGTACAATATTGCTTAAAATTCCAATATATATTATAAAAATTCTAAAGAAGTTTATTAATAAATAACTCCAAGTAAAGCAAGTAAAGCATGATTAGCATAATCCGTACAATAATATACAATTAAAGAGAGATATCAGTATATTTCGATATATTTGACGAGTATTTTGAATATTTTAGGCAGTATTATGCGGTAATGTATTTAATACATAAAAGTTCCCAAGTAAGTGAAAACGTCTACTTTTTAGAGAAGAGTTGCTTTAATTCATTTAATTTATCTATCATCGTTGTTTTGATAACATCATCATCTTCCATTTTGATTATTTCGTCTTTCATTTTATCTGCCATCTCATTTAACAACTGAATTTTATTTCGTGAAATTGAAACATTATCTTCTTCGAGCTTTTTATGCCAACGTTCAACTTCTTCCGTGAAGACTTCATAAAATATAGTCCAAGGAAAATAATCCCTGTAATTGTGAATAAAGCAATTAATGAATATCGGTTCAAAACATTTCTTGAATTGTATTCTAAAATATGTTTATTAGCAAATTAATTTGTACATACTTATTTTGACGTTCGGACGGAGTCATTAAAGCAAGTTCAGTAAATACGATATATTGTGCCCGTACCACGGACCATTCAGTGTATGCACGATTAAGTACTTCTGAATAAATATTATTTACAAGTGCAACTATTGAAGAAAAGAAGAAAAAGAACGTTAGAAAAGAAACCCGGCGTTAAGTGCGAAAGAATAGATAGTACGTACTCATAAGGTTCAAGATTATGACAGTTGTAAAGAATGAGTATGCAACCTTGAAGATAGATGTAGAGAGATCATCTCCTGGCCACGAACCATAGTCACTTAGAAATGCCGACCAGTAAGCATTGAGTGAATTATAATATTGAGTAAGATCTTGAAACTTTGTACGAGTCTCATCAGTTAAACTAGTTTTATCATAATCAAGCATCATATTGGAATAGGTCACTGTTGCATGAGAGGCTGCTAATACAATTAAGGCTAAAAAGACAAATAACCACAAGATCTTTCTGCAAATATGTGCAATGACTGCATATTAAAAAGGTTAATAGGTTATTATCAAATTATTAGGTAGACAGCTTTTGAGAAATGCTTACCAATGGTAATAATTCCGATCTCCTTGAAGGTTATTAAAATCGCGATTACACTAAGCCATAAGAACAATATTGTTATAGATCGGAAATAAATGAGTAATCCATGATTAACTTCAAAAATCCCCATGAATATAGTAATAGTAGGAAGGATAGTTTTTGCGAGCATAAAAAACGTTACAGGGGTAAATGATCTGCCGTTTATATACATTATAATAACATATCGGATGTCGTGGAGTGATCGAATTGTTCCCATGATGGCACTTATAGTATGTAGTGACATATAGTTAGTGATAATCGATGCAGTAAAAAAGGCAAAAAAAGCAAGATAGAGAGAAAACTGAATAAAGATTCGATAACACGCAAAGGAACGCCACTTGAACTTGATAATAGCATAAAAAAGTGGAGAATCAATTATTTCAGAGGAAGCATTATTAGGTTGAAATACTTCATCGGAATAAGTGATTATGAATTTTGCGAAGGGACTTATTTTATGTGGAAATAAGATGTTGAGCACACTAGAGTCTTCTGGGTAACTGAATAGGCCAGGAAGTGGCGAATAACATAATGTGGTATAGTGTTGGGGGATTGTCTGAAACCTTATTCGTTATACGAACCACAATTAGTGCGCAATATAAAGAAAGCGAAAGGGAGTTAAAAACAAACCTGTCAATTATGGATAGCTCGGGATTATGAACATCATTATGAGTCTTGTAACCATAAAGATTTTCATTTTTTGATATGAATTCGACTTTTTCACACCATTTTGATGGAACCTTAACGTAAGTTAGACGTTTTATAAGTCTGGAAACTGGACTCTTGTAAAGGGGAATACTGATAAAGTCTTGAAGTAAAATAGTAACTACGCTCATGAGTTCGAGCTTTTCTTCTTCAATGCATAACTTCGCACAATAATCAAAAAACTCTGAAATTAACTTTTCATCTTCCAGTTTAATAAGTTCTTTTAGTTTTGTTAAAGAACCATAGCATGGTAAATTCTCAACTTTGGAATTAACTAAGTCATGTACCAACTTATCAAGCTGAATTATTTCATCGGCGCCATTGCATTTTTCCAAACTTTTGATTGACTCAATTTTGCGACTGCGACTAATTAAACTATCAAGAATGTTTTCATGAACGTTATATTCTTGGGCCTCTATATCGTCACTCATATTTACTATGAGAAAATCTTATGAATATAAAGTAAGTTTAGAGAACTTTTCAGGAGAATATTGTGACATTATATAGAGGCAATTAATTTAAGTTCTATGTATTACAATTAACAACGTTCTTGAAAAAAACTTTGATTCAGAGTTGTGTTGTACGTAATGTATGTTCATACTAAAAAGTCTCATTATAATCTTTGATCCTATTTTTAGCATTTTTAGCATGTGATTCATTCGTGGTTTATAATAGTTACTATTAGAAATTATTGTATAGCAATATTCAAAGAATTCAAAGTTGGCTAGTGAATATCAAATTTAGCCAAGAAAAAAATCATTGATAAATACCTTATTAGGAGAGCAGAATAAGATGCCAAATGTTACGTTACGTTACATTACGTTAATATTGCATATATATGCTTAATAGCGAAAATGCTAATCATTCTTGCACTTGGATGGGAAATATAAGTTCGATTTTTTTCGAAAAAGATCTGTGCAAGCATCGCGTATTGTTACCTCTCCCTGTTTTTTGCAGTACATTCTAACTAATGTCTATTATAATGTTGACATTTTAAAACAAAACAGAAAAGTTTGAAAATTCAAAGATTGCATATATTAATTATTTATTTTTATGAAAAAAATAGATATAGTCTACGTGTACATTGGTATATTTGTTGTGATTATAACAAACTATCAATGAATTCTTTCGAAAGAAGTGATATTCACGAAGTTTGGTTCCACATTGTAATGCCGTGATATACCTAGTAAATTTATTAATTATAGGGCGCAGTATTATATTTAGTAGTTTAAAATTGTATGACGTTACAAATGTAACGTCCGTTAAACTAGAAAACATGTGATTTGAATTGTAGATCATTTAGGAAGAGAACTATAATTAGGATACTTATAATTTAAGAAGGAGATTTGAAGATCAAAAGCGAGACAAATTCGAAATTTCAAAAACATGAAAAATGTTAAGTACTGAAGTGTGCGGTTCGATTGAGCATAAGATGTGAAAAATCTAAAATTTTCAGGTTTCGACTCTAAAAGGATATAAGAGGCGCAGGGTGTTTCTTGGAGAAAGTATTATTTGAATTTAATATAAATAGGGGTAAATTTGGAGTTTGTGAAAATTCAGGATACGAATTTGGGGATTTATTTTAATAATTATTTGGGATATATTTATTATTGTTAATTTATTTTGTTAAGCCTAAGGTGGCAACGTAATTTATTACAGGCTTACAACATCTTTGATTTTAATGTATGGTGAAATTGGTTACTATTTCCAAGAAATATTGCTTACTGTATAATGAGTCCAGTGTTGGTCATGGGACACGGACATTATCACGGACATTATATGTAAGTCACATGATTATCCTATTTTACGATTTAATACAAAATAAATATAGTTTATATTAGAACAGCCATTTATTTATTCTGCAGAATTAACTTCGGAGGTACAATTAAATTTACATCAATTATTAGAACGGCAAGTTTACTTCATCATTAGCGGGATGAGTAACATCACCTGTTGGTCCTTGAAGATATTCACCAAAATCATTTTCTAGCCGGGGTTCAGTGATTTCATCATCTGAATCATCTCCTATTGGCCCAGAATTAGTTTCTAAATTAGCAGCTGGATCATCATTTCTAACATTTTCCGAACCATTTATATTATTGAGATTTGATTAATATCAGTTTCATTTGCATCATTAATATCTAACGTAGGTTCAATAGATGTTGGATTATTATGAAGATGATGGCCATATGTAATTTCAGCTCTTAATTTGCTCATTTGAAGAACTTTAGATGACTATATATTAAAAAAATTAATGTTAGAATAAATTATAAATATATGTTTAATAAAATATGAAGATAAATATACCATTAATCTATTACGCCGTTTTGTTTTAAAAATCCCAAAGTCTTTCTACAAAAGCTGCATTTACACATATACCAAAAATTCTACAAGCTACAAAACTCAATTAATTTGTAGAAATGCCAATATAGCACCAATAATGCCAATAATAATAGAGGGGGAAACTCTCTCAATTTGAAAATAATTGAAAAAAATTATTTTAAGTCCAAAATATTAAATGAAGTATTAATTTAGATGAGTTAACTTGGTGTTGCTCTGATGGTGCACAGTCAAAAGGTGCTTTGTTAGATACTGACTCTATATCCCCAGACCTAGTCAAGTCTAAAATTACGAGTGCCTCCTGATCTCGCTGCTTTTTTCTCGTTTCCTCTGTCTAATCTTATCGCTAACTCTTTTCTTATGTACCTTATCCAAGAAGGCATCCGTCTTTACATCTTGGTGTTGGAATTATTAAGCTAGTCAGTTACTACTGAGTTGGATATACAGTATTAACAGCTGATACCACAATTACCTCTGCTATCACTTCCTTAACGTTCTGTGATTGCTCATCCAATGCCAAGGAACCCTGATCATTACCAGCAACTCTGCTCTTAAGCTCTGTATTTTCTTCTCTAGTTCCTTGACTCTAGCATCACGCTTGGCATTCTCCTCAATAATCTGTCTCAATTTCGCGTTCTAAGCCCCAACCTCGGTAACCTTCTTTCTTCTAAGTTCAATCAACAATCTGCTGTCTCAATAATTCAAGCTCCAATAACATGTTTGATAAATTTACACACTACAAATATTCAAAATAAATAATAAAAAAATCATGTGTACGTGATGAATTCTTCATGTCGATCACGTTTGTCAAGAAAATAAAATTTTTATTGATGCAGAGACAAAAAATAAATACAAAGATCGGGACTTTGCCCAGGATACATGATGCTGATTCCCTAGGGAATCCGTTTCTATGCTAATTTATAAGGAAGATTATTCCTTAATATATTTTTTCATCCTAGCTCTCTTCACCCTTGACAAAGTTTTGTGTCATTATCTAAAATATCCTTGATAAGGACGATACTAGTCAGGGTTTGAGCAATAGATTCTTCCCAGCATATATAAAGTACCAGTCCGAGGCTAGAATAGAGAAAGGCATGAGTTAGTACACAGACAAAAAATCAGCGCGTGTGAACAGTTGTTCATGTCGATTATTTTTGCCAAGAAAAAATCTTACCTGTAGTAACGATCCCATAGAGGTAGTCTCAAATCATCATTAAATGCCACGGATGCCTAGAGTTCCAAATGGGTCAGGTCAGGTCAGGTCATATCAGGTTATCTATTTGACCTGACCTGAACTGAAACCTGAAAATTTTCAGGATTTATATTAAAAATATCAAAAAAAATGGTGCAAAACATTTTTTTTGAAATATTGCGATTCAGTATTTTATATAAAAAAGTGAATTCTGATACCGCAATTCACTTTTTATATATAAAATTGATATAAAAAAAGTGAATTCTGATATCGCAATTCACTTTTATTATATAAAATCAATATAAAAAGTGAATTATAATACCATAACTCACTTATTATATAAAATCATAGTTTCAGGTCAACAGGTCATTCAGGTTATATTGATCTTACAACCTGAACTGATGCTGAATTGCAATTGCTAAACCTGACCTGAAAAATTCAGGTCAACCTGTCAGGTTACCTGAATTTGGTCAACCTGTTCGGAACTCTATCACTGGAAATAGATGAATCAGCATCCCTTCAGAGGCAACCTGATGATGCACCCTCTAACTCCGAAGAAGAACAGCCGCTTAGGCAAGGTAGTACAAAAACCGTTTCCTCGGGAAACGATGTTTCAAGTCCTCACGGTCTGGAGCAAGTTACAGGCCTGGTCATAGGTATCTGTACGCCAATATTTTTTGAAGTCATGTGATAACCTATTCTAAAAATTTCCAGGATTGAAAATCAATACTAATCTTGATCACATACAAAATTAGAGGTCCGTACAATATATAAATCAAAAGTTAGATGATCGATGAATTTTAGCTGCAAAATGTCGATCTTTCCTAATAAATTATCCAAAATAAATTTTTGTGCGTAAATATTTAATTGAACTAAAGTAAAATTTTGAAAAAATAGTTACTTATATTTATTATAATTAAAATTATGGCCACTTATTGAGCCAAAAATACCATTAAAATAAAGACTTAAATAATAAAAAAAATCATGTTATTTGCAAAAAATCCATTTTTATGATCATTTTTTTGCTTTGGAATTTAGCAAACCAATTTGCTTTCAGCAGAACCTTAATACCCATTTTATGCATAGTATCTATAAAAGGGATCTCATAGCTTATTCATATGAGATTTTTGACAAAAAAAACTTAGAATAAATACTTCATAAAATTAATACCATTCAAAAATTGTGGAAAAATAAAAGGGAGATTATGGTATAATTGAAATTCCCTGGCTATGTATCTAATCTGTTAAAAATTCTAGAAAAATGTGTAATGACACTTAAAAATTATTAATATATCAAAAAAATATATATATACTAAAAGGTTAGGGCATGAAATAATGAAGGAATGAAAATATTCATGTAAAAGGTGATAAATTTTTTATAAAACAAAATTTGCCCGATCATCTAACTTTTGATTTATATATTGTACGGACCTCTAATTTTGTATGTGATTAAGATTAGTATTGATTTTCAATCCTGGAAATTTTTAAGGTAGGTTATCACATGACTTCGGAAAATATTAGCGTACAGATACTTATGACCAGGACTGTAAGCCTGTTTGCTCTGCCACTGACGATTCTGATGAGATAGAGCTTACTAAAAATCAGAATGTAGAACTTGATCTAATACGTGATTTACAGAGTTGTGTTATTGTTCCGTCCAATGAACAACATTCATCTTCTAACGAAGCGTGTGATCAAACCACAACACAAAATTTAATCCATTTGTTTCGAAAAGCAGTACGGGCTGGACATGAAGAGATTTTATCCTGGGTTCATTATTCAGGTAATTTCGAAAATAAAGTTGCTGAAATTTGTCGTGAGACAGGAGCTGTTGATAAAACCGCAAGGACACAAATATATAAGGAAATGTTAGAACATCTAGCTGGTGTTACGCCAGTTTCCTTACGAATTAAGACACTTAGAGCCAAAAAAATTTGCAAATTGTTTGGAGAAAACGGAGTAGGAATTGATAAGATTAAGTATGTCACTTGCAGTGCAAATGAGATTTCCGAATTAACCAACGCACAAATTCAAAATGTTATAGACATTTCGCGTCAAGCGACTTCGAAACCCATTTCCATGAAAACCGTTTCCCGAGGAAACGATCAGAGTCATGTGACTTTGAAAATCGCTGATGCTGAGACTGTTGAATATGACGAGCCAGATGATGATGACGAGCCAGGTGATGATGATTATAAAGTAGACGCTTTCGCAGGGAGTCTCGACTGGAGAGACTAGAAGTAATCTCGGTACAATACCTGCTACTTCGGAGCTGGAATGCGCAGTATAGACTAGGATAGTGTAAATGAATCGTATGCACCGCAGCACTTGCTTTCGTCATTTTTTAGAATCATACCGCAGCCGCAGTAGTAAGGATAGTTCGTACACATTCCCGATCCAGCTAGTCCGGGACGATCACATCAGATATTCCTTACCAACATCGTTAGTTCTGTGCGATGCTGGCTTACGTATACTATTGATTCCATATATATTACAGTACGACCGTCTTAGCCTTTTTTCAAAAATGTTTTTCAGCATTAGTAATAAAAATTACATTTTGTGGATGCGTGGAACCTCCGCAATTCCGAGATCTACAACTTTTGCGTCTTGCGTGGAAATTGCCATGCCAAAAAGGTTATAATTTCCCCTATAACTGTGAGACGAGAGTTATTAACCGCAGTGTCGTGAAACATTAACAGGTTTGTCGTGGGAAAGGGGTGTTTTGAAAATTGAAATATAAATATGACTACACACTAGCTTCAGGGATGGGTTTAGACATGTACGAAGAAACGACCGAAGAAACGACCGAAATTACTCTTAACTGTATCGCTAAAGAAAGAGGGTCTGAAGGGATTTTCAGTATTGATATTGGAAAAGACGAATTGGTTTCTGCCCTTAAGCATCGTATTGAGGGAATGTATACCAACACCTATGCAGATTATGATCCCTTCGACATTTTGATATGGAGAGTGGATGATGTCGATATTAGTGATGAAAAAATCACCGAACTCCAAGAGAATTTATCACCTAATGCCGTTGAGAGAGTTTTGGGTGACAACGTAGAGAGACTTTCTAGTTGGGATCGGATCGGAAAAAAATTCAGTAATCAATTTAGTACAGGAGTTATTCATGTTATTGCTCAAGGTATTCGCGATTAGTGAAGTTTTTTGCTACTTTCCCTCTAATTTTAAAATGTAAATTCTCCATTATTTAGGCTGGTGCGTAGCATGTGATAAGGGTTATAACTCCTTAAAAAGCCATCAAGAATCTGATGTCCATAAAGATAATGCGCACCTGCATGTCTCCTACAATTCTGGAGACATAACCCCGTTTGAAGAAGAGGAATTTGTTGATGACAATGGGGATGAGGATGAAGAAGATGAAGAATTATCCAATGATATGAACCTTTAAGATTATTTTGCGTCACCTGTGGCGTAGTATCGATCTTCGGTATATTCACATTTTTTGTATGCTATAGGCCGGCGCCCGACAACTATTTATTTTATTAAATAAAGCATTATTATACCCGGTTCTAGTTGAACCTCTGTTCTTAACGAGTACTTGATAAATGTCGCGAGCGATGCTGTCCACGTAACTAACCATAGTTTGCTTGCGTCACTGCCATCCCGCAGTGCAATTCGGTTAAAATTCCCGCAGTATGAATAAGGCCTTGTTTTACAGTTGACGACTTTTCCGACGAACTTATTGAATCGAATGGCCCGACCTTCGGTCGAAGGTCAACGCTCAATCAGAAGGAATCTTGGTACAAGCATAACACCTGAAATGTGCAGTATAGGCTATGTTACGAATAAATAAAGCTTTGCCATACCTCCATTTATGCATATAATCTATTGCTCGTCCATGTGACTAACCGCAGCAGTCAGTTACAAAGTCCCTGTCACGTTGCTTTCTTTTACTGACATATATTTTGCGCATCAGTCTATTAATAAGCCCTGCCAAGACGGTCAAAATTTAACCGTTCCTTGCTTAGTTATATTTTTATTCGAAAGTTCTGGCATAAATGTTGCGTATCGCAGCTAGACCATGAGTCAATGTTTGTTATACCCCTGATTTGCGAATCTAGAATGTTCCCCATTAGAGCACCTGAAGGGGTAAGTGATACCGTCGATCGACCATTGCATTATAAGGCGATCGAGGTAACCCATCTACCGCATCGATTGGCCGTGTTAGCAATGAAAATAGGCATTATTTATGTTCATCTCATTAATAATCCACCATGGAATAATAGTTTGCGTATCTGTTGCCAAATTACACATATACTTTAATTAATACCGATTTGGGATTTGGTTGCGTCAATATTTCATTATTAATACTGCGCGAAAATCGCTGTTAAAGTATAAAAGGGTCTTGCCTTCAACAGATAAAGGCCTTTAACTGTTACTATCTAAAAAGTTCCAAATAAACCTGTATACTGCTTTTTAAAACAATTTATAAACTACAAATAACATGAACAGACGTGACATTTTTTTGATTTCACTCTTCATTTCCGTCGTTGCATTACGTGAGATGCATACCAGAGGCATCTTAACAATGGATATGCTCTAAAATGCTTTTTTCCTTCGGTCGGGAAACGTAGCATCATACGCAGTTATAGCAGGGCCCTATAAAAAAAGTAGATACGTTTTTATACTGAAAGATACGTTTTGTATACTGAGAGATACGTCTAGATACGTCTAGATACGTCTGGATACGTTTTGAGATACGGAAAAATGCACAATTCCGCATCTCACATGATACGTTTTTTCAGTGTCTCCGTATACAAAACGTGTCTTGCAAGATACGGAATTGTGCATTTTTCCGTATCTCAAAACGTATTTAGACGTATCTAGACGTATCTCTCAGTATACAAAACGTACCTTTCATTATAAAAAACGTATTTACTTTTTTTATAGGGGGGGCATTATTCTTTTTTCGTAACTATCAGCCTGGGACAAATAAAGAACTTGAAAGAACAGTTCTAGCATTAAATAATGAACTCCAAAGAATGCGCACAGAAATCGAATGGAAGAATGACGCAATGTCGCAAGGTAAGAACTAAGAAGCATACACGTCACAGTCCGCAGTCCGCAATAATGCGCATGTGATTCATTGCACGTGTCTTTCATAGTAACCTGCGCCTCATTTCATCTAGTAGGATCAAACCGATTCTCTTCTGCAAGTCGTTCAACTACAGGCAAACGTTCCGAATATAACGACGAAACAGAAATGTATTTGGTCGAATGTACAATATATTATCCGATGAGATCGGACTAAGTCCTGGTACATTAGCCAGTTTCTACCATCACAGAACGAATCCAAGAAAGACTACGATGAATAAAATAATTCCATGGATAGAAAGGGAGGGAAAAAGGGTAGTTAGTTTTGCGAGTAGTAACAGTAGTATTATCAATAACGAAGTTAGCAATAGTTAGTATAGGATAGCGGGAAGGAACTGCCATTACTTTTACTACGTAAAAGCGTCTAGGGTCGGGCAGGCATATTTCATGCTTTATTCCTCCCTTGAAACATCCGCTACTCTAATGATTTCATTTTCCCCTTTCCCTCTCGTTTTCCCCTTTCCCTCTCATTTTCCCTTTCCCTTTCGCTTTCCCCTTTCGTTTTCCCCCTTTCCCTTTCATTTTTCCCCTTTCCCTCTCATTTCCCCCTTCCCCTTCCCCTCCCCCTGATCAATGTTGCTGCACCTCAACGTGGTGATCAGGTGACAACAAGTTTTTTAAAAGACTTGCTAAGTCAACAACAAATAGTAATTGTATATTACATATGTTATAAATCGATTTGTTCACTTTATTAATTTATTATGTTTTCACTAAATTACAAGTGGAAAAAATAGTGAGGGTAAAAAAGAGGAAAAGTTGCAACAATAATGCCAGTTATTTACGTAGAAGTGACCATCATCGCAGGTGAGTAGGTTTGGATGTTGATGCGATAAGGTGGTCATGAGCATAAGGGTGGTTGAGGTATACCACTTTGGTCACTACCGTATGTATGGTCACTACAAGTATACCATACAACCACTGTCTGTATGGTCACTTCATAGAAACTATATGGTGCTGCAGAATCACCCACTTTAGCTTCGCAAAATGCTTACTTAGGCTGGTCCTAAACACTCACATTGTATATTTGTAGACGTATGATTTATGCCCATTGTTTTCATATAGAATGTTCATGTAGGTAAAGAATACGTGATTCTTTGGGAATCTTGGAGGCCCTTATCTTTCCTTTTTGAACAGGCTCAAAGTGTTATTAATAGATTTACGTTTGATGGTAGATGTACAATGTGTGCATACAGAGGGGATGAACTATGGTCATATTGTAAATTTGTAATGAATGTAGAAATACGATTTTAGATTAGGACCTTTTGGTTCTATCATAATGGTGCTTAGCCTTCAGAACTGACGAAATTTTGCCTAACCTACATAATTTATGGAATATTTCCTAGTAAATTTCTTAATATCAAGAGTTTATGTTTAAATGGTAGTTAGGACTATAAAATGTGAATAGCCAGTTATCCTATTATAATTAGTGACATGATATGTTTGTAAATTTTAATTAAACTCAGTTTTCCCAATAAAATTTCAGTTTCAAAAGGGTTAATTAGTGAGAAATCATCTAAAATCGATATTTTATTATTTATTATATGGCTTTTATTTCCATTGCTTTTTAATTTGGTTTGAAAAAAAAGATGGAATCATCTTATTCAGTTCAGATTTAAAAAAGAATAGAAAGGAACGTCCAAGAATTACTTTTAAAGTATCAAATTAAAACGGAAGAAACTTATGAATGAACTTATGAAAGTCTATTTGATAATAAAATATATAAGAAATTACGGGTAATATTATTATAATATACAAAAATTAATTAACAGTATACTAAGTAAAAATAAAAAGTTTATAAATGACGGACATCACATAAAAGTACATAAAAGTGATAATAATTTTATTATGGAAATTTGCCATTTTAATTAAAAAGTTATTTGTGATAAATATAAAATTTGTGAAATCTTTTTAAATGAAGTATTAAAATATAATAAATGTATTTTTTAAAATAGTATAAGCAAATATATATTATTAAAAGTACTCGAAGAGAATAAAAATATTTAAAAATTATTAATACATAGCAGATAGTTAATAATTTAAAAATAAAAGAATAAATTTAATAATTTTAAAAATATTAATTAGATTTAAATAACGAAATTATAAATTATAAAATATATTCAAAAAAGAAACTAAAAAATTATAAACAAAAAAAATATATATAATGTAAAATTAATAAAATAAGAATGAATGAAAATATTCTTGACTGAATAATTTTAAAAATTAAATAATTGAAAATATAGAAAAAATTATTATATTTAAAAAAAAATATTAAATAAAAGAAATAATATGTATATTTTATATTTATTATATACAGTAACTACTTTCACTCTATATTTTATTCATTCGTATTTGTTAAGGAAATAAATTTGACTAATAAAAATATTTATATTATTAGCAGAATATTGTTAAAGTATTAAATAATACAGTCTAACCTCGATATACCGATATTCGATATACAGATATACTATTAAAAACTTGATATAACGATAAAATTTTATTTTCCCACTATATGTGAGGACATATAAATATCGGTATAACTTTGATATAACGATATTTTCTAAAAATTTCATATATGTCCCGACATATCGTTATATAAAGGTTTGACTGTATTACGAATATCATGTTTATATTTAATATTTTTTATTTCAAAATTTTTTTATTTATTAGTTGTAACCCTGTTGCTTCGCATCAGGATTGTAATGCTGGTTCGTCATATAAATTTCGCTTTTTTGAATTTGTTTAATGTTATGTAATAAACTGGCCAAGGTAGTGCCAAGGTTGCATAATTTAGAATTTATTTATACAGGTAATTTAAACGTTACAAATTTTAGATTTTATTCATATTTTAAAGATAATCGTCTACTACATTTTTATAGATCATTAATCTTTTATCGATTTAGGAATAGGAAGACTTAGGATCCAATTGAAACTATTCCTTTGCAGAGGATGACAATTCTCATGACCCATTAAAAAACTCATCTTAATATTCAAAGTAGTTAAATGTCCACTTTAAATAATGTGTTACAATCACTAATTATTTTAAAAAAGATTAAAGTCTTTCACTAAGCGGCCTAAAAGGTGCTCCTTAAATGATAACGCAGTTTTCTTGAGGAAAAAAAATGTTATTAAGGCTAAAAAAAGAAATAGATAATAAATAAATTGACAAACTGATAGAACGATTATATCATAATTATTATCTTTCACGATATCCTCTTATAATACTAGGATATTTCAAACATTATGGTTACTAAAAAAATAGAGTACACAAAAAAAATGCCTACTATCTAAAAAAATGAGGCTTAAGCGGATAAACCAAAGAAATCTATCTAAAAATTCTGGCATATTACAATCTTGGCCGACAAATCACCAGCTCATTACGATGAAGTGTTGCAAGTTGCAACTCGAGCTGAACTCACACTTCTTGCCATATTAT